CATATGAAAAGAATAACAATAGAGAATATGTGAATTCTATTGTTAGATGTTATACCAATCTTATTATTGTTTTGTTGCTGCTGTTATTGTAATTCACCATCTTATGGAAATCACCAATTTACTCCTTAATATGTTTGAAAAAAGAATTCTATAGTTGACTCCCAAACAGCTTCTTTAAAAGTTACTGGTTTAGCCCTGGCCGGTTTGGCTCAGCGGTTGGAGCGTCCGCCTGCGGTCCGGAGGGACCCGGGTTCGGTTCCCGCTAAGGGCATGTACCTCGGTTGCAGTTTGTCCCCGGCCCTGGTCGGTCGTGCGGGTGGCAGCCACTCGATGTGTCCCTTTCACATCGATGTTTCTGTCTCTCTCTCTGTTCCTCTCTCTCCCTCCCGCTCTGCCTGAACAAAAAACAAAAAAATGTCCGCGGGTGAGGATTAAAAAAAAAAAAAAAAAAAGTTACTGGTTTATTTCGAGGAACCAAATCCTATAGCCTGTTCATAGTCCTGGGTCTTTGCATCATTTGACATTCTTCATCACTCTTTATCTAATTTTCTCGTGGCTTCTGTTATAAGACATTAAATGTTTTTATTTATTTTTTATTAATTAATTAATTTATTTTTGTTACAGATGTTTCTCCCTTTTCCCCCACTGACTTCCTCCTTCCCCTCCCTCCCCACCCTGTCCCCATCTTTGTTGTCCATGTCCATTGTTCATGCACACATGCATATAAGTTCTGTGGTTTATCTCTCCCCCACCAAACCCTCTTCTGGGGATTGTCAGTCTGTACCCCACTTCCACGTCTCTGGGACGACCCATTCCTCATTATATTCCACAAATAAGTGAGATCATATGATACTTGTCTTTCTCTGTTTGGCTTGTTTCACTTAGGATGACACTTTCCAGGTCCCTCCATGTCGTCTTAAAGGATAGAGATCTTTCTTTCTTACAGCTGCATAGTACTCCATTGTGTATATGTACCACAGCTTTTTTATCCATTTATCTGCTCATGAATCCATAAAAATCCTAGAAGAAAATGTAGGCAACAAAATTTCAGAAATCATATGCAGCAGAATTTTCACTGATACATCACCTAAGGCAACAGAAACAAAGGAGAAAATGAACACATGGGACTACATCAAACTCAAAGCTTCTGCACAGCAAAAGATACAGTAATCAAAATGGAAAGGCAACCCACTGTATGGGAAAACATCATTGCCAATGATATATCAGATAAGGGGTTAATTTCCAATATATATAGAGTGCTCATACAACTCAACAAAAGGAAGACGAAGAACCCAATTAAAAAATGGACAGAGGACCTAAAGAGATACCTCTTCAAACAGGACATACAAATGGCTAAGAGACATATGAAGAAATGCTCAACATCACTAATCATCAGAGAGATGCAAATTAAAACAACTAGGAGGTATCACCTCACGCCTGTCAGAATGGTCGCCATCAACAAATCATCAAACAACAAGTGTTGGCAAGGGTGTGGAGAAAAGGGGACTCTAGTACACTGCTGGTGGGAATGCAGACTGGTGCAGCCACTGTGGAAAACAATATGGTGTTACCCCCCAAAATTAAAAATTGAACTGTCATTTGACCCAGTGATCCCGCTTCTAGGAATATACCCTAAGAAGCCTGAAACACCAATCAGGAAGAATATATGTACCCCAGCAGCACTATTTACAATAGCTAAGATCTGGAAACAGCCCAAATGTCCATCAGTAGACGAATGGATAAAAGAGCTGTGGTACATATACACAATGAATTTGTTTTGAATCCTATTTCTCAGACCACTCCTATGTCTATTGTTTTCTCTTCCTTTCACTGTCCTCAAATATGGGTTTTCCCTAAGCTGCTGCTCTCATCCCCATTCTCTCTACTTAGTATTCCCAGCCTTTTATTTCTAAACCCCAATCTCGCTATGCTGTCAGCTGTTCTCATATACATATAGGTGATTTCCAAGTACAGCCCCTGAGACTAGTCTGAAGTCTAAATTTGCATATTAGCTTCAATAGATAGCTCCACTTGAGTGAGATACCATTTTATATTAGATTCAATATAGCAAATATATATATTTTTTTCTCCTGCTCAGTCATTATTATTATATGTTATTGCAAGATAATATTCTCAAGCAGAGCTCTGATTATCAATTTTACCACTCAGAATTCCTTAATATTTTTTAATGTGGTAAAATATACATAAAAATCAGCATTTTACCCATTTCTTTTTCTTTAATTTTTTTCTTTATTGATTTTAGAAAGAGAGGAAGGGAGAGGGAGAGAGAGAGAGAAACATCAATGAGAGAGAACATCGAATGGCCACCTCCTGCATGCCCCCCACTGGGGATTGGGCATGTGTCCTGACCGGGAATTGAACCGGCCACCTCTTGGTGCATGGGTTGATGCTCAACCACTGAGTCACAATGGCTGGACTACCCATTTCTATATGTACATTTCAGTGGCATGACCTGTATGCAAAATTTTATGCAACCGTCACCTACTATACATTTCTAGTACTTTTTCATCATACTAAACAGAAACTCTGAACCTATTAAATAATAACTCCACGTTTCCTGTGCTCCAAAGCCCTGGTGACCTCTATTCTTCTTTCTGTCTTTATGAATTTCCCAGTTCCAAATTTCTCGTGTAAGTAGAATCATAGAATGTGTGTCCTTTTTTGTCTAGCTTATGTCACTTAACATAATGTTTTCAAGGTCGTAGCATACATCAGAAGTCTTCATTCTTTTTTAAGACTGAATAACATTCTAGAGTATGTGTACATATATAAAATGTAGTATTATATACATAGTTATATATGTATTTATATATATTCTTTTGTCTATTTATCAAAGAAATAATACATATATAACTGCCTATATAGTTTTGTTTATATTATATATAGTTATATAGAGTTTTATTTGTTTATGTATTATATATAGTTATATAGCTTTATATATTAATATAATATGCCATTTATAAAGTGGCGGCACCATTTTATATTTTCACCAGCAATTCACAAGAGTTCCAATTTCTCCACATCTTCATTAATCCTTGCTATTGTCCGTTTTTAAATAATAGCCATCCTAATGGATATGAAGTGCTATTTCACTGTGGTTTTGATTTACATTTCCCTAATAACCAATGATGATAAGTACCTTTTCATGTTCTTATTGGCCACTCATATATATCTTCTTTGGGGAAATGTCTATTAGGTTCTTTTGCCATTTTTACATTGAGTTATTTCTCTTTTTACTTTTGAGTTGTAAGAATTCTGTTATATTCAGGATATTAGCATGGTCATGTGTTTTTATATCCCTTGGGGAAAAAAACCTAGGAGTGAAATCTCTGAGGCATTAATTGGGTGTTTTTATAAGAAACTGACAAATAATTATTCAAAGTGGGCGCATTAATATACATTCCTATATTAGCTAGATGAGACTCCCAGCTGCTCAGTAAGCTTAGCCACATTTGATCTTGTCAATCTTTTTTATTTTAGCCATTCTGATGGGGGTGCAATGGTATCTTATTGTGATAGTTAATTTACTTAATTTATATTGCTCTGATGACCAATGATATGATGTACTTTTCACATTCTCACTGGCCACTCACTCACCACCTTTTATAAAGTGTATGTTCAAGTCTTGGTCCATTTTTATTTTGGCTATTTGTTGTTGCTTTTCCCACTGTTCATTTGTAGGAATCCCTCTTATCTTCCAGATATGAGTCTTTTGTTAGATACCTGTTTTGCAATGATCTCTTCTTCCCTCTTTCCCACACTCTGTGACTTGCCTATTCATTTTTCATTTTTGTGAGAAGAAATTTTTATTTTTATGAAGTCGAATTTATTAAATTTTTAATCTTATATTTAGTGCCTTTGCAGTCTAAGAAATATTTTCCTATCCCAAAGTTATAAAGATAGTCTGTGGTTTCTTGTAGGAGCTGTATGGTTTTAGGTCTATGTCTGTGAAAGATATTAAATTAGTTTCTGTGTATGGAGAGAGACCGGGGTTGAGGGTCTTTTTCTTCTCCTCCATCAGGATACCCAGTTACCACAGCACCACTTGTTAAAGCAACATGTCCCCCACTGAACTATCTTGGCACTGTGGATTGGGTTGTATTGGGTCTAGATTTGTGAATTTTTCTCTGGACTTCCTCTTCTATGTCACTCATTTGCCTACCTTACACCAATACCACACTATCTGGATTACAGCCAAGATTTTAAAGCACTGAAACCAAGTTTTAAAGGCATTCATTTAGTACCCATGAGTTTTAGACTCTATGTATGTTACTAATGACCATTACGGGGTAGATATTACTTTCTATCCTCCGTTCCCCCATGCCACCATAACCGCAGAATACAATACAAGTTGAACAGGCCGTGCTTGAACACTAGCCTATGTTACTGCAAATGCCACATATTTTTCTACCTTTCTGGAAATGAAGTGCACGTGCCTTTGACATTTAAGCTCTGTCAAAATTAGCCCATCATCCTTGTTTAGCCATGTTTCCTAATCTTTTCTTAAAAGTACTTCAAGTTCTAACCAACCAGACGGCTCACAGATTTCGAAGTAAGCCCACCCCTTTCTCTTAGGTACTGTCGCTGGCGTGCATTCTCTGCCCACCACTTCTAAACCTGAATTCAGCTAATATTTACATTTCCATCTTCATCAAGCTGTTCCTGAGCCCGACAATCAGATGTGATACCTCCGCCTCCAAGTTCTTACATCAACTTTATAGCTTTGATGGCACTTAGGATATCCTGCCTTACAGAATATTTCTTCTGTATTCTTGACCAATTTTCCCCCTAGAGAGAACACTCCTTGAAGGCAGTGTATTAATTACCTTTGTGTCTCCTGCCTAGATATTTCAACAAATTTGAGTGAAAGAAATGTTTTTTGTTAGCATTTTCAAAAGTGAGCAAGTGAACACAGCATGTGGTTCAGGATAATCCTATCCATGTAACCCCCACTAATTTATTTTTTCTTTTCAAATCAGAACTTTCCAGTTGGAGGAGTCTCAGGACTGTCGCAGAGACTTCGTAGAGATCCGGAAAGAGAACGCCACTGGGCACCTGGTGGGAAGATACTGCGGGAACGCCCTCCCCCTCACTTCCCCCTCCCTTGTTGCACACAGCCTGTGGATCAGATTTGTCTCGGACGCTTCTGGCACTGGTACAGGCTTCCAGGCCACATTTGCTAGCAGTAAGTTGGTCCTGTTTTAGTGATGGCTGCCAGAATGAATCCTACGAACTAGCAGAGATAACGCGATTTTCAGGCATGCACTAAAAACCAGCCTGAACTCTGCACTGTTCTCCTATATGTATTGTCTTTGTGGAATTACTTCATTATGTAATATATTAGAAAAACTAAATTACATACCAATGGCTGATGAAAAGCCCGTGAGAATGTTGAAGGATTCTAATCGTTTTCTTTTAAATATTTTTTTCTTTATTGATTTTAGAGAGAGAGGAAGGGAGAGGGAGAGAGAGATAGAAACATCAATGAGAGAGAACATCGACTGGCTGCCTCCTGCATGCCCCCCACTGGCCAGTGGGGTTTACAACCTGGGCATGTGCCCTGACTGGGAATCAAACCTGCGACTTCTTGGTGCCTGGGTCCACACTCAACCACTGAGCCATACTGGCCAGGCTCTAATCATTTTCTTAAGCTTTGATTCTACCTAATTGTTAAATTGAACTTTTTTTGTAATAGTGTGTTAGTCTTTGCTGGTATTTTAGTTCAGATTTGGTATATTTATATCAAGTGTGTTTCATTTGATTCCATAAACTTTATATTCTTCAAATTAAAAACATTTTAGTATTAGTCTGTGAAAGGTTCAAATTGGTGGTATGGTGCATGGGTATGCAAAATAGCAATCATTGATTGTGACTAAAGGAAATTGGGTTTATTTAAAGAAAAGGGGGTAGGGGATGCCATATGCAAAGGGAAGGGCTACAGGTCCCCGAGCCAGGGGGTACTGGGCCAATGATGGCAGCCCTTAGAAGCTGCAGCTTCATCCTTATATGCAACCACTGGCGGGAAGCTTTTGGCGTCAGTGAGTTTTGGGGTTTAGGTTGGTGGGTTTGGGCAGGGGGCTGGGTCTACAGGAATGCGGATGTGTGACTTGGTGCTTCTTTGGCAGTTTTAGTTCCTTATATGGTTTGATTCCTGGTTTCCTGCATTTCTTGTCCGGTCAGTTCTGCTGTGGCAGGAAGCTTGGTCTTTGTTCTCCTGGGATGGAGAAGCTTGCAACGTGGCCATTAGGAATGATATTGCTGTTAAGTCCTTACAGTTTGGGATTGACTTTAAGTGCTCAGATAGCATAACAACGGGGTATTCTTCTAATAGCATAAAATGTTAAATATTTTTATTTTCTAACTCAACTTTTCCACAATTAGCTATTGGATATGTACGTGGTTCCCAAATGTCAGATTCTCTTATCTTAACAATTTTTAAAAACATGTTTTATTCTCTTGTAAGACAAAGTTAAGTAGGTAAACCAAAATTAGAGAATGGGGCTAATAACAACCCCCTTCCCATGTCTCCAATCTCCTGGGGTTTGGGAATCCCTTTCCAAATGGGAAGTTATCCTTTGTTCTCACACCAGCAACCTTCCACGGAGATGGAATTCCATTCACAAAATTGCCCTTCTCCAGGAATTAATAGATAGCACAGAAATCAAAAGGGAAGCCATATTTCTTTCAGTGTTCAGAAAAGAAATCACAGCCAATTAAAACACCCCTTTTCAACACCCCTTGCCTTTGTTTCTTTTTGTTGATTAAAGAGCTGTTTTAAGTGAGTCTGATTTACTACTTCATTTTCCTCCTAGTATTTGGCAATGACAATATTGTGGGAACTCATGGGAAAGTTGCCTCTCCCTTATGGCCTGGAAATTACCCTCACAACTCTGATTACCGATGGACAGTAAATGTGAATGCCTCTCAAGTTGTCCAGGGTCAAATCTTGGAGATGGACATTGAATCAACACACAACTGCCATTATGACAAATTAAGGGTGAGTTTCCAAGTGCAGCTGATGCTTATAACTTTAGTGAGTTGCTATTGGCCAAAATACATGCAAATTAGTGTTTATTCAAGCATTTGTAAATCATATGGGATGGTCTGTCTGCTTTAAATCATGATTACCCGTCTGTATTATCTGTACAAAGGTAATTCTGGTATTATATGTGTTTGTATACTTTTATTGTTGTAATTTGCCTGTTGAGCTTTGTCTAAGTATATATGTATATATATTTTTTTTAATATTCTCACCCAAGGATATCTTTTCATTTTTTGTTCAGAGAGAGTGGGAGGGAGGGAGAGAGAGAAACATCATTGTGAAAGGGACACATCAAGTGGCTGCCACCTGCACGACCTTAGCGGGAACCAAATCCGGGTCTCTCTGGACCGCAGGCCAACGCTCTAACCACTGAGTCAAACCGGCAGGGCTATATGTATTTCTTAATTACTTATTCTATCTTATTTCCCATGTCCTGTTTATTCTTATGTTAGGGTATTAAAATTTGAAGAATCCTTTTAAAGTAAATAAATGACAATATAAAAATTGTGGTGATCATTGCCACCCAGACATTGTTGTATCAATTTCAGAAACACCATCAGATTTTATCCCCAGTTGTATTGAGGTATATTTGACAAACAAATATTGCACATATTGAAGATGTACAACTTGATGTTTTGCTATATGTGAAATACATGAGTTTGATTATTTTACTGTCAGATTCTGGAGGTCCATGATTCCGTCTTATTCATCTTGGGTCTGCAATGGAACTCAATAGTTGATAGATGTTCAGTATGTGAGAGAATAATTATCACACAGTTTGAAAACATGAGCTTATATAGTAGCTTCAGCAGAGAAATTTATGATAACAATTATAATGAATTTGTTCCAAATTATTTAGGAGAAGATGGAGGGAAAGAAAGGAACTGTGGTTGGATAGCATGCATCCACATGTGCAATCACAAGAAAATGTGCTCCATGCTGGGTGTTTGGGATCTATCATAAAAGATGCCTCTAAGTAGGAATTTAATATTGTAAACCAAATGAAAAAGATTTATTGAGTGCTTTGAAGGTGTGCTAAGCTGTTGCAAGCTATGATTCCTTTGCTGTGATTAATTCTGCTGCTTGCTTCTGTGGAGATAGGAACTCCTTTAGAACACCTGTTCAGTTTCTCTCGTTAAACCTTCCCTCTTTCTTGTTGTTTTTTCCCCTTTCTTCCTAATTCCCTTTCAAGTCCCAAAGCACATCCAATAAATGTTGTTTGTGCATGACTATACTGGTTTCTACTATTCTGCCACTAAATTTTACTGTAAGGCACACAATGAGAATACGATTATTAATGTAAATCAGCAGCAAAGTTATCAATAAATTTAAAATACTAAATTATTACAATTATGTTATATATTTAATGACATTTTTAGTTTAAAACAGATATGTTTGCTCACTTGTTTTTTCCATTATGATAAAATTATAACATAAGGCATTCTTTAAAAAAAATTTTTTTTCCTTTATTGATTTTTTTAAAAAGAGGGCAAATGAGAGAGAAACATCCATGAGAGAGAACATTGACTGGCCGCCTCCTGCATGCCCCCCACTGGGGATCAGGCCCACCACCAGGGCATGTTCCCTGACCGGAACTGAATCAGAGATCTCTTTAGTTTGTTAAAAGAAGAAAAATACAGGTAATTGCCTTAATCTATGCTCTCTTACTTGTATTTTTACATGCAGATTTATGATGGTGCTGGCATTCATTCCCGCCCAATTGGGACTTACTGTGGCACCCAGATCCAATCCTTTAGCTCCACAGGAAACTCCTTGACATTTCAGTTTTCTTCTGACGCTTCAATCTCAGGGAAAGGGTTCCTTCTGGAGTGGTTTGCAAGGAATGCTGCTGCTGGACCCTTGCCCACCATTGCGACAGGTATGTTTGGTGACAAATGAAATTCTTTTTAGGGGCTGATAGTGTAGACCAGTATTTCAAAGGGTCCTACCATAATAGGGGCCAAATGCCCAAGAGAGGAAAAAGAATAAATACAGCCCTCAAACCTTCCTCTATAGGTTCAGGTGTCCTTTTAATTTCATGGATATGGCCCTGGCCGGTTTGGCTCAGCGGTTAGAGCATCGACCTGCGGTCCTGAGAGACCCGGGTTCGGTTCCCGCTAAGGGCATGTACCTCGGTTGCAGTTTGTGCCCGGCCCTGGTTGGTTGTGCGGGTGGCAGCCACTCGATGTGTCCCTTCACGTTGATGTTTCTCACTCTCTCTCCCTTCCTCTCCCTCCCTCCCACTCTATCTGTACAAAAAATGGAAAAATATCCTCGGGTGAGGATAAAAAAAAAAATAAAAAATAATTTCATGGATATGTAAAAATTGTATGTTTGTTTCTAAAAAGGTTAATTTCCCATTATATTTTTCATATTAATTAAAGGTTTAATATCCATAAGATATTCTACTTATAATATCTAGAGATCATTTTAGAGACCTCTGAAAATTTGATTTGCAAACACACACACACACACACACACACACACACACACTAGTTAAGGATCCACTAATAGAAAAAAGTAACTGTTTCCCCTCTGTATTTCATTTTAAATTTGCCTTCTGAATGCTTTACTTTCCCCTTTGCTGGTTGCAAACCTTCATGTTTCAAGGTAAACTTGCCTAAATTTTAAGCTTTTATTTTACTATTTTAAAGACATTCTTAGTTCCCTCAGTAAGCAGTATTTTTGGAAACAATTTTTTCCTTACAAATTGGTTTAAGAAAATTTGAATGACTTTTATGAATTTGAGGATTGACATAGAAGAAATTCAGCAGATATTTCTTGGAGGATATTCTTCATTCTTGAACTAGTTGATTGGGACATATTATCAAAAGATCTCACTGAAGAATATTCAAACTGTGAACTTATTGTAGGAGTAAGCAGACCTTAAACAATTGGACTCTATTTGCTTCTAACTTCTTGAGAGTTTGTATCAACAAAGATTACTGAAGGTATAACTCATACTTATTTTTATTGAATAACCCTTAGTACGCTGTTCTGAGATGTTATTTTCACCTCCTTTATAGGGTACTTTCATAAGATTGAATACAAATCTCTTCCTTAAAATATTCATCTATTTATCCTAGAGCAGAGGTCCATCAGCAAGATTGCCGATTGTAGTTTAGAGCTATTCATTTCTATTTGGATAGCTCTTGCAAGTAAATTTGAGCTAAGCTCTTTTATATCCACAAATCGCAAGTTGGAGAAGGAATCACCAATTCATGCAAAAAATTATATCAGCAAATACAATTTAATACTCACAAAAATATAAGTTTTCTTCTCACACATGCATTCTATAATTATATAATTAACCTCATTTTTCTTAATCAAGAACAAGGAAAGGAGAAGTAAGGAGTTGAGAGAATTTTATAATTTGTTAGTTATCTAAACAGCATAAATGATTACTCATGAAGACATCACAGTCTGAGATTTTTATTAAAATGCAACAAAGCTTAACAGTTTATAATGTATTAATATATTAAACACTGTATCATCAGCATTTCTTATGCATACATATACTCAATTTAATTTTGCACATATTTATTGAGGATTTTTTATAGATACACTAAGGTGAGTACACACTGACGAAGAAACAAAACCTAGATATACTTTCTTCTTTCTAGGAGCTTATAAGTATTTGGGAAAGATAAAGCATTCATTATATCAGTTAAATAACAATATAGTAAGGAAATTATTAAATGACCAATCAGGTGGTGTAGGTAGCAAAAAAGCAATGGAAGGAAGAGAAGCCTAATGTGGACTAGGGTCATCTGAAGGAAAGTAAACATGTCAAGCAGAAACCCTTGTGCATTGCTGGTGGGAATGTAAAATGGTACAGCCACTTTGGAAAACAGTTCAGCAGTTCTTCAAAAATGGAAAAACAGTGTTACCACCGTATGATCCAGCAATTCTACTCCTAGTTATATACCTAAGAGAATTGCAAATGTACATCCAGCCCCGCCATTGTGGCTCAGTGGTTGAGTATCGACCTAGTACTGAACCAGGAGGTCACTGCTTCAGTTCCCAGGCAGAGCACATGCCTGGGCTGCAGGCTTAATCCCCAGTAGGGGGCATGCAGGAGGCCACACTGATCCATGTTGATATGTTAATGTTTCTCTCTCATTGATGTGTTTCTCTCTCTCTTTCCCCCTCCCTTCCTCTCTCTCAATAAATCAATAAAAAACATATTTAAAAAAAGAAAATGTGCCCTGGTCGGTTCAGCTCAGCCGTTAGATGGTTGGCCCATGGACCAATGAGTCGCAGGTTAGATTCTGGTCAAGGGCACATACCTCGGCTGTGGTTCATTCCTGGCCCTGGTCATGTTTTGTTGTGTGGGAGGCAACCAGTCAATGTGGCTCTATCATGTCGATGTTTCTCTCTCTCTCCCCCTCCCTCCCACTCTGTCTAATAATAAATGGAAAAATATCCTTGGGTGAGGAATAAAAATAAAAAATAAAATGTACATCCACACAAAAATTTATACATGGATGTTTATAGAAACATTATTCATAATAGTGTAAAAAGGAAAACAACCCAAATGTCAAAAAGTGATGAATGGAAAATCTAAATGTGGTATATTTATACAGTGTAATACTATTTGGTCTTAAAAATGAAGGAAGTATTGATACAGGCTAGAATATTGATGAACCTTAAAACATTATGTTAAATGAAAGAATCCAGTCACAAAAGACCACATATTGTATGACTACATTTATATGAAATGTCCTGAATAGGCAAACCCATAGAGGTAGAAAGTGGATCCGTGATTTCCATGGACTGGTGGAGTGGAGAATAGAGAATCAGTGGTAACGGGACAGAGTTTCTTTTTGGACTGGTAAAAATGTCCTAACATTAGCCCTGGCCGGTTTGGCTCAGCGGTTAGAGCGTTGGCCTGCGGTCCTGAGAGACCTGGGTTCAGTTCCCGCTAGGGGCGCGTACCTCGGTTGCAGTTTGTCCCTGGCCCTGGTCGGTTGTGCGGGTGGCAGCCACTCGATGTGTCCCTTTCACATCGATGTTTCTCTGTTCCTCTCCCCCCCACCCCCGACTCTACCTGAATGGAAAAATGTCCTCGGTGAGGATATAAAAAAAAAAAAAAAGGTCCTAACATTAGATATCAGTGATGGCTGCAGAACTTTGTGAATAAACTGAAACCACTGAATTGTACATTTTAAAAGGCTAAATTTTATGGTGTGTGAATAACAGCTCAAGAAGCCATTATTTTTAACAAAAATAATGAAGTCTATTCTCATTATAAGTTCATGTGCTTTTCTGAATATTTCACTTTACCAAATTGAAAATTGTTTCAAAATTGCCTCGATATAAATTACACTATGAATAGCTATACTAAAAAGGCAAAGATTAAAGTACATAGGAAGTAGAGTTCTACCTAGAGAAGAATAATGTCAGGTCTTCCATGTGGACTTGTTTCATGTTTAACAAACAATAGGCACTCATTAATGAACGGGTCGAGTGGCCAAATTACGGTGGAAAAGTAGAATACAATGTGTTTTTCTTCACAAAGAATAAATTATGTTAATCACAGCTGGCTGAATCAGTGGGTTTCATAAAATATGTATAGATTTTAAGGAAACTTTTTTTTTTTATCTTCATCTGAGGACATCTTTCCATTTTGTTGTTCAGATAGAGTGGAAGGGAGAGAAAGAGAGAGAAACAGTGACATGAAAGGGACACATCGAGTGGCTGCCACCCGTACAACCCAACCAGGGCCGGGCACAAACTGCAACCGAGGTACGTGCCCTTAGCGGGAACCGAACCCGGGTCTCTCTGGACCGCAGGCCGACGCTCTAACCGCTGAGCCAAACTGGCCAGGGCTGAGGCAACTGTTTTAATTGACTATTTCATTTCAGCACAGGACTGACACTTTCTTTATATTTTTTTAAAGATTAAAAAAAAGTTTCTTTCTTTATTGATTTTAGAGAGAGAGGAAGGGGGAGGGAGAAAGAGATAGAAACATCGACTGGCCGCCTCCTGCACGCCCCCCACTGGGGATCCCTCCACTGGGGATCGGGCCCACAACCTGGGCATGTGTCCTGACCGGGAATTGGAATGGCGACCTTTTGGTGCGTGGGTCAACGCTCAACCACTGCGCCACACCAGCGGGGCAGGACTGCCACTGTACAGTGAAAGTGTTAGTGTCTTTCATCAGAGGTGTTCAGAGATGGTGCCTCTCCCTCTGCAGGTGCGTGTGGTGGGTTCCTGAGGACCGGAGAGGCGCCCGTCTTTCTTTTCTCCCCAGGCTGGCCTGAGAACTACGGGAACCACGCTGACTGTACGTGGCTCCTCCAGGCCCCAGACTCCACTGTGGAACTCAACATCCTCTCCCTGGACATCGAATCCCATGGAACATGCAACTACGATAAACTTGTGATCCGAGATGGTGAGAAACATTTAAAAGGAAAAACAAAAAACAAAAAACTGCCCGTTTCTACCCTGACATATGTTTAATTACATTCAATTATAACCATAGCTGCTAACTACCTCCGTCCATTTTCATGGAATTGCACAGGTATTATGGTCAATGAAGGCATCAAATCCTACAATTGGCTCCAGTTTCTGAATGGCATACAGAAACTCTGAAATTGCTTCTAGTAAAATCATCCACATGCTAGGTAAGGGACAGCATCACATTCCTACGAGGAAACCCTACCTTTGCCTTACGTAGGAAACAAGCCTGAGTTTCCAGGTAGTGCTGCTGACTTGTTGAAGGCTTTGGAAATAAATCTTGATATTTTATACCTATGTCTTTAAGATCCAAGGAAAAGCATTTATAAATACAATGCACTCAATTCTCTTTGTCTACTGAATCTCTGGGTAGAATGGATAGAATTAAAGGCTAAAATTTTTCATCGTTTCCTCTATACACAGGTGTGGTATTGCTATGCATTAATTGAGGTATGTGATCAATGCTAATGTGTGACCTGTGCAAACTCTGCGTCACTATTAGCATGGAGAACATATCCTTCCACCAGTGTGTCTCACAGTGTGGTCCCAGACCAGCAATATTAACCTTACCGGGGAATTTGTTATAAATGCATATTCTAAGCCCCACCCAGACCTACTAAACTAGAAATTCTCAGGATGGGTCCCAGATCTGTGATTTCAAAGGCTCTCCAGACAGGGCCAAGATTAGGGTGAGGAGAGTAAGGCAGGACCCGGCAACCTGCATAGTCAGATCCGGCCTTTATTTAATATTTTAGTATTTTTTCATTTTACATTAAAGTCAATTTTTTTAAACTAGTGCACAAAAGTGATGTTTATCTTGATTTCTGAGGCCTTTAGCACCACCTTCCATCTTGCCCTTGATTTGAGGTGGTCACTTGCCTGACCCTAGTCCCTGCCTCAGGGTGCGTCTCATGATAGACGTTGCAACCGCCTGTGCCTCTCCCGACAGCAGGTGGCACAACCAGTGATGTGGCAAACTGGAGAACACAATTCAAAGGGCAGCCATTGGGAATGCAGGCTCAGTGTTCTGCATCTTATTTTTTAGGAAATGTGAGAAATACCGAATTTCCTATGAATTTCCCAAATGTTAAATGAATGAAAAACCGCTTCAGAGCACTTTTGGGGGATCAAACAAATGTGTGCTTGCTTTTGGCTCACAGGTTGTTAGTGTGCAAGCTCTTGATTTCCTTCTCCCATCAGCCCCTGGATGCACTAAGAACAGTGAGAAAAATCACTGGCAGAGGTGCTTTATTTTCCTTCTGTGGAGACTAGACCCTAAGTAAAGACTCAAATTAATCATACAAACAGGATGAGATAATAAATGATAACTTCCCCCCTGCTTTTCCTGTCGACAATCAGCTGTCAGCATATTACCCAGAGGAACTATCATCTTTCCTCATGTCAAGGCATTCCTGTGGATGTAAAAATTTTAAATTTCTCATGCAATTAAATTTGTGTGTCCTTGCACACATATTCTGAATGTTCAGAACCCAGTCAAAACTTAGAAAACATTTTTTGTATGTTTTTATTGATTTTTTAGGGAGGGAGAGAGAGAGAGAAACATGGATGTGAGAGAGACACATTAATTGGCTGCCTCCTGCACGCCCCCTACTGGGGATCGAGCCTGAAACCTGGGCATGTGCCCTGCGTGACCTGGAATCGAACCAGGACCTCTCAGTCCATGGGACAGCTCTCAATCCACTGAGCCACACTGGCTGGGCTTCAGTAAAAACTTTAAAATTATCTTTAGTAGGTGACTGCATTGACAGGTAAATTGTGGTTATTTTTTTAAAAATCACTTTTATTGATTTTGTTCAACCAATAACTTTTCTTGGAAGCCTCAAATCGAGGGAGCTAGCCTTTCTTCTTCCGCATGACCTTGTGCAAATTACTAAATGGCTCCAAGTCTGTTCTGTCGTCTGTGAAAGAGACACTAACATCCTCCTCAGGAGGTTGTTGTGAGGATCAGGGAAGGTGATGAATGCAAAGTCCTCCAGCAAAATCCACGGCATTTAGTAGACGGAGAATTTGGAATAGTTTAATTTAGGTTTCCATTTACTTTTATTGAGAGATTTCTGAAAGAGGGTTCATCATATTCTCTTTATAGAATGAAAGTGTTCTTGCTGAGACACAGCTGCCTGAAGAGAGCTCAGTAGATGATGGATGCCAAAACGATGACATTATTTTTCATTGTTCATATGAACTATCCATATGTCATCATATCCTCTTGGCCCTCTGGTGACTGTGGACATTCCTGGGCCACTCCCGAGAGGCCCCGGTGGCTTTCCTGGGAGAACTGAGTCACTCTCCCACCTGTGCAATCATTTTGCAGAGTTGTCATGTTTCAAAATTGAGTCAGTCTTTTCTAGACCATGCACCAAATTCTTCATACCAAAGATTTCAACATCTGAGGTTCCATGACACTGCACTGAGCCTAAACAACAGTTAATAAAAGAAGGAAAGAAGGGAGGGAGAGAGGAAAGAGAAAGAAAAAGAAAAGAAAAAAATTGTATCAAAAACCAGTAATCCTTCTATTTCTAGATCTTACTTTGTTTATGATCTTTACTAAATCATTTAATAGCATAGTTGGGCATCTGGAGTTCATTGGCCAGGCTTTCAAATCCTTGTTGACTTCTATGCCCTATGCCCTTAGATAGAGTATACACCCCCTCTAAGACTGTCTCCTGTCTACAAAATGAGGATAATAGTGATACCTACATAATAGTGTTACTGTGAAGATAAAAACAGGTGTTACATGTAAAACACTCAAAGTGGTAATAGTAATTGCTCAATAAATGTCAGCCACTAATGTTCTTGAGACCTCAACTTCCACATTTCCAAGGAAGCTGGACTAGAGAGTGAGTCACAGAAGGACCTGCTGGTCCTAGCCCCGGACATTTCTTTGACTTTGCCTCGTGTTCCTGCTGCTATTCATATGTTGAGGTCATGGAAAGCTCTTGAAATACTGCAGTATTTATTATGGATGCTGGAGGAGGGACAAGCCATCTTGTGGTCATTGGGTTATCTATGAAACTAGTTAGTTAATCAATAAGTAATTATTTAGAGATAACCATTGTTTTATTAGACTGCGCGAAGTTTCAAAAAGAATTCCCCAGTTTCACAGAGACAGAAAATATATACACATGAAATAAACACTAACATATAATAACTCCAACATGTGGCAATACATGATTAGAGAATAAGTTAACACAAACAATTGTGGGTGAAATGTGTAGCAAAATGGCCTAGTGAAGATAAATACCAAAAAAAGTTAGAGAAAAAATGTTGAGCTGTAAAGCATACAAATGTTTCTGGAAGTCAGAAACCCTCCCAAGAATGCCTTTTCAAGCATCTCGTATTTTTGGCTAAGCCATCATCTTTGTAATGACAGAAAATAGCTTGCTGACTGAAGTAGTTAATAACGAGTGAGTTTTAGGTGGTGGTCAGTGTCAAAAAAGACTCATTCTGCTGCTTGTGCAAACGGGCACATTTCCTCCCATCTCATATTCTTTTTTTGTTGTTTTCTGAGCTTGAAATTCATTCGTCCTCTGCCTTCGGGAAGAAATAGTGTTTTCCCAACCAAGGAAGCCAAGTCTGTTATAATTGCCTCTGTCCATCCCAGCGTGCCTGGCGCAGTTGCTTTGACTGAACTTAGAGACAAGAAGCCAAAGGAAAGGAGGCACGAGGTGGCCCAGCCTCCGGAGGGCACACTCGCTGAATCTCTTACATGCTCCACACATGGACATAAGTGTGTCCTCTTAACAGCAAAACAAACAACAACGAACAAATGAAGGGTAAAAACAAGCAAAACAAAAAACACCTCTGAGCTAAAGCACACATCTCAGCAAATGACCTTGTAACACTAGTATGGAATCTGAGACTGAAGGACCAACCTTTTTTCTCTTTGAGATACTTGACCTTCAGCAATCAGAATACTTCAGATGGCGTCTGACGCACACATCAGCACTGGTCTGAAATCACCCCCATCCCACCCCACGTGCTCTGATTTTGAGTGTTAGTGCCAGCAAGACCTGTCGGCCAGTTTTTAGAAAGAGAGTGGGAACTGTCTGAGGAGTGTTTCTTAGAAAAGGTAGAGAAAAAGGCAGGGGGATCATTACAAACTGGAGCCAGAATGATGTCGTCCCTGGACTGTCCTTGTATCAGAATCGCGTTGTGTGCTAGCGATGGAGATGTTCTGAGAAAAATGAATGAGCTGGTTTGACTGGGTTACAAATGATGGTGGAGGAGATTCTGGAGACATATTTTTATGCTGGTGTTTCCTTTTTTTGGTCCTAGGAGACAATAACATGGCCCAGCAGCTGGCCATTCTCTGTGGCAGAGAGATCCCTGGACCCATCCGGTCTACAGGAGAGTACATGTGGATCCGGTTCACCTCGGACTTCAGTGTAACCAGAGCCGGCTTTAATGCCTCCTTTCACAAGAGTAATGTGTCCTAAGAGTTTGTGTGAATTTATTTTGTCTCATCGCATTGCATCCCACCTCTCTCTTGCTCTCTCCCTAGTATACTCTGTTCAGTTTTCTATGCCAGGACACAGGGACACAGGTTAATTATAAGTCAGAGCACACGGTCTCTGCCCAGCCTCTGGGGGCTCTCCTTGTGTCAGGTACTGAGTCCCTGTCCGAGAAACCGGCCGAGTTGTACAAAAGGACTCCTTTCAGGTCTCTGGGTGGGGTGTCCTCCCTCCACAGGAGGCACAAGAATAAGATCTTTAAAACAAATGCTCATCCCCACTGTGGCTGGAACTAGGAGACCAATGCACCAAAGGAGCAGTAAGTCAGCCCAAGAAATAACCAGTCAAAGTAATACAAAAGATATCTTCGTAAATCCCTTGGTCAAAATAATTCCTTTGACGGGAGACAGAAAGAGTTTGTTGGTCTTGAAATATGAATCTGACGAGTTAGAGAATGTGCACAGTATATGACAGGCGATCCTGTGTAGTGTGATTGAGACTTTCAAAACTTGACGAAATGTGAAGTCCAATAATAACTGGAAATCCAAACTAGATTGAAGTTCAGGAAGTATTTCATGGAATATGAAATAGCAAAAGACTCTCATGCTTTTAACTGAAAACGTAATTTTAAAGTGGATTATCAATCTATCTAGACTTTAAAAATTAACATTCTCTCACTGTTATGCCTTTAATAGAGAGCAACTGAAGATAAATGGTTTTTCCCAGCGGAGGTAGGCTGCATAGTGGTTTAACAGAGTGGGCTTTGGGATCAGACAGACCTGAGATAAATTTCCACCTTCGCGATTTAGCTAGTTGGATGAACTCTCTGCTCTCACTCACTGACGAGCTGTTCAGTCCCTGACAACTGGGAAATTACTGTCTGCCCTGACCACGCTCTTTCCTGAACTCCCAACCTCTCACGCTCTCTCCGCCTTCCTATGTATGACAGCTCGTGATGTATAAAGTTGCCAGGTCAAACCCTGAACTCTTGACTCCCACCATTTTCCACCACCTCCCCCAATGTTTCTCATGCTACACTCCTCTATTTTAGCAAGTGGAAAGTACATTTTTCTAGCTATTGAAGCCAAAAAGCTTGGTGTCACCCTTGATTTATCTTTTTTTCACTCCATAAATCGTAATCATCAACAAATCAAAATAGTTTTACCCTGGAATCTATCTAGATTCCAGCCACTTCCCACCGTTTCTACCTCACCATCCCAGTGCAGGCCTCTGTCCTCTCTCCTTGGACTCAGGAATCACCCTTTATTGGACGTCCTGCCTCTGCTTTCTCTGCCCCCCTCACAGTGTAAGTGTTGCAGCTAGAGTGGGTCTTTTAAAACTTAAGTCACCGCATTGCATTCGGATGCTCAAGACCCTTCAATGTCTTCCCTTTCTTCTGAAAAAATAAGTCTTTTTCGTTTCCTGCATGACCTACCCTGCTACCTTTGGATCTCTCATTCTGCTTCATCCATTCTGACTTTCATGACTAACCCATCAAGTCTTTGCACCATATGTTTTCTGGATGGAAATGCTTTTCTCTCACAAAGCCTGAGGCTCAATCCCTCATTGCATTCAGGTCCTGCTCAGATGTTACCCCAACAACATGGCATTGTCTAACTTCCACAGACAATACAGTGCCCTTTCCTTGTTCTCTTCTCTTTGTAGAACATAACGCCGTCTCATGTATTATATGTGTTTGTTGTATGCAATACTCAACTGTAAAGTAAGCTTCATGAAAGTAAGCAATTTGTCTCTACATCCCTTTCCTGATCTTAGCAACAAAAACAAAATGAGTACCCAATGGTGTGCACTCGAGAAATGCTTGTTGTACTAATCACTTCCCACACTTTGGCCTGTTTCAGACCACATTTCTTTTGCCTAAGTTTAAAAATCCTCAAGAAAAACAAACAAAAAGCCTAAAAAGCCAATTGTAAATGTTACTCAAAGAGGTCCTTTAATTTTTCAATTAAAAAATAATAATTTTCTTTGTTTTTTTCTTGGGAAGGTTGTGGTGGATATTTGCATGCAAACAGAGGGATTATCACATCCCCCAACTATCCGGAGACCTACCCTCCCAACCTCAACTGCTCTTGGCACGTTCTGGTTCCGAGCGGTCTGACCATCGCGGTCCATTTTGAGCAGCCCTTCCAGATTCCCAACACGGACTCTTGTAACCAGGGGGATTACTTGGTGGTAGGTCTTGTTTGCTACTTGTTCTAATTACGTTCTCTGCAGACTTTGTTCAGAAAACAAAACGATTTTTTTTCTCAGTTGGCTATATTGAACATAAGCCAATATAAATTTTGTACTTTGTCTTTATTAATGTGAAGGGATGTATACCATTTTAATTTGTATTTCTAGCTGAAAAATGGACCGGATATCTCTTCTCCGCCCTTGGGACCCCATGGAGGAAATGGTCACTTTTGTGGCAGTCGTCCTTCATCCACTCTGTTCACCTCAGATAATCAAATGTTTGTTCAGTTTATTTCTGATCATAGAGTTGGAGGGCAAGGATTTAAGATCAAATACGAGGCACAGAGTTTAGGTAAGTAATCTCACTGAGAATAATGCCTGTACTTTCCCTGCAGATGTTTGGTCTTCCTTGTTTAAATAGACTTGAGAAAACAATATGTAAAGTTTTCTCTTCTGAAAGAAGAGTAATGGGAATAGCTACCTATTATCAAGCACTTACTTTATGCTTGATACATTCAATAGCTCATCAAGACTAATTTTTAAGGAAGGTATCATTGTTCCCATTTTATAGGTAAGTAAAATGAGGCTTGGATTTTTTTTCCCTAAGGCCACATAACAAGAGAATAAACAAAGTAAAATTATCCATGAGTATAAATTGAACTGATCTCAATGATCCCCTGAAATTCCTTAGACTTCTCCATTATAAAATATCTAATTATAAGTTATATTCACTTATAGAAACATTGTAAGAATAATTACATTGTTTTGTAATCATTTGTATGTTTCCTTTTAAATGAACATATAATCCTCTGATTCTATTACCCATTTAATTATATCTTACAGTAGTAATCTTTACTTAATTACTTTTACTTAATTATACTTGATTATAATTATATTCAATTCTACTGTAATGATTTAATTTTTGTGACATTTATTTTTACATAATATTTACTTGAATAAATAAGTAAACTTCAAACAAGATAGTAGTATCAGTAGAGAATATGTCTTTGCTTCAAACTTAGGTAATAGGATTTCAGAATAATCTTAATGGTCTCAATCTCAGATTCTTGAATATATTTCAAAATAAATCTCTATGAAGCTATATGTTTTATTGCACATTCTCCAAAACATAATAATTTAAAATGTCAGCATAATTTCTTCATTTTGGGAAGGAAAAGAAATAAGTCTCCACCAACAGACACAGAAAATCATCCAGTGGCTCAAGTAGGTTCCAGGACGACAGGGAATGTCCTTCCCCCCTTCCCAGCACGCATGGCTCTGGCATTTGAAAGGAGCCTTTAAAGACACAGCTCTGTGACACCAGCACCATCACCCTGTGGGTCAGGCGTTCTCGTCCCTCCCAGGCTCTGCGCTGAGCTCTGCTGCTGAGTCATGACGGCAGGATCTCCCCGGGTCCTGAGGCTGCTGAGTAACAGCGCCTGCGTCTAGTGAGGAGACTTCAGCCCATGCCGCAGAATTCTCCTTCCCCATCTTTACCCATGCTGGACTCAGTCTTCAATTACATTTTTCAAATCAACATTTAGTGGGAATTCAGATACACTAAAGGTCTATTTGCAAACACTATGACCTGTATTTTTCCTTTGTGGACCCTCTATTCATGCGAGAATGGTATGGCTGTTACCTTTTCCCCATCTTACTTACCTTAATATTAGACTTACTAGTCTTTTTATTTCTATTGCTGAACAACCCCAACAATGTGATCATTCGTTTCTCCTGACATTCTAATCAGCCATTTTCCCTAACTGCACAGTCAGTCTCTACTCCCCCATCTGTCTTTCCACAGCACTTAACTTCTACGCCGCTACCATTTCCAGCCTTTAACGTGGTATTTGGGGAGCGGCTTTTTTTTTAATCCTCCCTGAGGATATTTTTTCCTTTTATCTTCAGATAGAGTGGGAGAGAAGGAGAGAGAGAGAGAGAGAGAGGGAGAGAGGGAGAGAGAGAAACATCAACGTGAGAGAGACACATCCATTGGTTGCCTCCCACACAACCCCTATCAGGGTCGGAGACGAACTGCAACCAAGGTATGTGCCCTTGGCCAGAATCGAACCCACGACTCTTTGGTTTGAGGGCCGACACTCTAACCACTGAGCCAAACCGGCCAGGGCTGAGGAACGACTTTTGTCACCAGATACTACTTGTTCTAAACCATCTTTCCCCAGAGACATTCCTTTGGTATGGTTGATTGAGATTTCCATGTTCCTGTGCTCGATGCTCTTTATTTTCACCAATTTGTTGATTTATTAATTAATTATGCAAACATTTACCAAGTGTTTTACACCTTGCAAACTACCATGCTTTGTCAAGGAGTTCACAGCGCAGTGGAGGAGACAGACAAGCAAAGGTACGATTAGAACATAGCCTGGTAAGTGCTAGACAGAGAACTGCATCAGAGCTGTGCTGACACGTGGGAGAAACACCTAGCCCAGCCTGAAGGGTAGGAGGAGGCTCCGAGGAAGGAGGTGGACGGAGATGTGCCATCGGTGAGGGAAAGGTGTGACAGCAAACAAATTCTCAGTGGTTGTGCAATAAGACATGTCTGTGGGTTTGAAAGAATTCGCTGCTGCTGGAGAACAGATCATAAGGAGGCAGCTACAATGCCGATGAAGCAGGCAGGAATCGTATCGCGCAGGGCCATAGCTGCCACCGTCAGGATGTGTAATTTTAACTGAGAGGCGATGGGGAACCCTGGAAAGATTTGAACCTGAAGCATGAGCGGCAGGATCAGATTAGACACATCAGTGCGTCTGCAGCACTGGAAACCCGTTGGAAGGAGAAAGACTAAGGTAGAGAGACCAGATGAAAGAGTGATTCAGGAAAAAAGTGTAGGCCCTGAACTAAGGCAATGGCAATAAGAATGCAGAAGAACAAAGGCATATTGAGATTCTATAAATACAGACCCGAGTGAATTTGGAAGTCAGTTGGATGTGGGAGAGGAGGGAAGAAATGGGAGGCACCGTGGATGGCCCATAGGTTTCTGGCTGGGTGGATACTTTTTTTTAAATTCCTCACCCAAGGATTCTTTTCTATTTATCATCACATAGAGTGGGAAGGAGGGAGAGAGAGAGACAGAGAGACAGAGAGAAAGATCAATATAATAGAGCCACATCGACTGGTTGCTTCCCGCAGGACTCGACCAGGTCTGGGGACGGACCGCAACTGAGGTACGGACTCTTGACTGGAATTGAACCCACGACTCTCTGGTCCGCGGGCCAACATTCTAACCGCTGAGCCAAACAGGCCAGGGCAGGGTGGATACTTTTATCTCACAAACATTTATTAAGAACTTGCTATGTGACAGACACTATGCTAGATCCTGGAGATATAGCAATAAACAAATGTAATCCATGTCCTCAGGAGCTTGGTTTTAGTGTTAAAACACAGGTAATAAATAAAATATACAACATCTCATATGGGAAAATATATTAAGAAAGGGAGACGACACTATCATTAACTCGTATGTGACCTCTAAGTGATGAGTAGTTAATGAGGTCGGTTTGGGACATGGTCAGTGTGAAATCTCTGAGTTACGTGCATTGGAGACGTCCCACGGGCTGTTGGAACGGGGTCTGAAGGTCAGAGAAGGGATCTGGACTGAATCAGGGAATATGTGCATCATTAGCAGACTGGTCGTCGTTGAAGTCATGAGCATGAATGACATTAATGAGAAAATTATCGAGACTGAGGGGATGAGGCCCTACAGAAGGATTCCTCGGGACCCCAGCAATGCTGGGCGAGGCCCAGAGAGGTGCTGAAGGACCAGAGGAGAAGCAGTGAGAGGGAGCAAACAGGGAAGCAGGGCTTGGTGTCCAAGAGGCTGAGGGACAACGCGTAAAGAAGGAAGATGTCGCCAAACACGGGAAATGCTGTGGGTGAAGAATGAAGATTAGAAAGGACCTTTGGGTACACAACTGTGAGACACCTGTGGACCCAGACCTGAGTGCTTTCTAGGGTTGGGACGTGAAGGGAGGATGAAGAGGATATGAGAGGGTGGTGAGGAAGTAAAGAGAGTGACTGTAAATGACTTGACTTTGTGATACATAGAAAGATCAAAGGCGCAAGAAGGAGTGAGGAGAGAGGTTAAAAGTATCCGGCAGAGGGAACTGGAGTCTGACCTAGAGATACAAGGGTGTACAAGGGAAAATAAAGGAAGGTAGTGAAACAGATACATTTGTTAAGGATGGTAACAAGTGAAGGGATAACATTGGGAGACGTCTCATCTGACTTCTTTCATTCTAAAGGAGAATTCAAAGTCCTCGGGGGCTGAAACTAGAAAGGAAATGGAGAGAATGAAGGGTTTCGGGCCTATAGTCAAGTTTTAAATTAATATTAAAAAATGGCAGGATTTCTTGGCAGTGTTGAGATTGGAGAACATGCATTTGCAGTGGCAGAAATTTTGATGAATGATTCGAATGAAATACAACCATGAAATTGAGATTTTGCAAGAATTCTGAAGGAAAGACCAGGAGTGAGGAGACGGTTAAAGGCAATCAAAGGAATTTGCATTTCAATCTTTCAGAGATGAAAGAGTTCTGGGTAATGACAAAATTCAGGAAATGACCATAAGTGGCTGAATGACAGTAGAAATAAATGTCAATAGAATTTAGCAGACCCAGCATCTGTGAGGCTAAGGTATTGGGCAGGTTAATCTCATTGGCACTGTAAGTACCCAATTTAGCCAGTTTATTGCTTGATTTGTTTGCAGAGATTGCGGGGGGGGGGGGGGGGGGTGTTTCTTGATATAATGAAAGTATTTTTTACATAATACTTTGGTCTTTTAGAAAAGTATAAAAGCTCATTTATCTTCTTGCAAAATGTGGCTAATAAATTATCTCAGGCCATTCATCTCTTGCTCTTCAAATGCATCTAAATCTCGAAGAAACATAATGAGTGAATGCCCAGAGAGTTGAACAAATATGTATCTGCTAAGTCTTTTAAACACATTCAGATCACGGCTCTGCATCATCTGCTGAGCAGTCCGCGGACAGGTGTGAGTCCCAGTGCATTTATATGCTCCTGTAAGTAGCAGGTGTCCAGCGTGCTCCCCTGCGCCTACTGCTTGCACGGTGCACCAGAGCTGCTCTGTTGGCTTTTTGGAAAAGTGAAACTCCCAAAGAGAATGTATGGTTTGGCAAATTAAAAAGTGACGCACTTTGTAGCTTCCTTGATAGCAAATTCAGAATTTATTTGCTTAAAAAATAAACAAGAATGATTTCAGATGAAAGGAAATTGAGATTGGAAGTACAGCTAAAGATGCTTTTATTTCTTTTTTGGTATTAGTGTTTTGTAATCCCTGCCCCAGGATATGTTTTCATTGATTTTTGGATAGAGTGGAAGTGGGGGAGGGGGAGAGAAAACATCAACTGACTGCCTCCCACAGGAGCCTGACCAGGGTCGGGATAGAACCTATAACTAAAGTATGACATGCCCTTGACCAAGAATTGAACCCGAGACCCTTCTGTCCACAGGTTGGCTGTCACTCTAACCACTGAGCCAAACCGGCCAGGGCAGATAAAGATACTTTAAAAATGATTGTAGCAGTTGATTCTGTCCTCTTTCTCCAGACTGTAGATTGATTTCACTGTGTTTCCCAACAGCCTGTGGGGGTAATATCTACATCCACGATGCGGATTCTGTTGGCTACGTGACCTCCCCCAACCACCCAGACAATTATCCCCGGCACGCTGATTGCATTTGGCTCCTAGCTGCTCCTTCAGGAAAGCTCATAAGGCTACAGTTTGAAGATCAGTTCAGTATTGAATTCACACCCAAGTAGGTCACCTGCATTTCATTTTTCTTCGAGCCAGAGTTAGTGTTATTTTTAGCTGTCATGTCTCAGTACAATTTCCTTCTTCATTTCTTAGCAACATAGACTGCATAGGAAATCTAGGGATGCAGAAGGGAAATGCTTAACGCCTCCAGCCTGAAACATTGCCTGCCAGCCACTCTCCTGTCAGCTGAGCAGATGTCCACAGATACGGTCCCTCGTGACCCTGTGCACATCCTGCAAGAAACACCGAGGATGGCTGTTTGAGATTTATGTGATCTGCTCTTCCTCCCACAGGAAGAGCAGTGTCTCTGCTAGATGAGTATTTATTTGCCCAGCCTCATACTGAATGTCACAAATGATAAAATACCCGTCTCACAAACGGAAATTTGTGTTATGTGACACCAGGGGTCACTAGTGTCAGAAACGAGACTAAAGCAAGTACAGTACAATTTCTAATTTCTATGTAATAAGAACTCTGAAAGATAACACACCAGAAAGTAAGTCTTACTATGTTGAACTCAAAGGGAATAACTACACACACACACACACACACACACACACACACACACACACACAATCTGTATTTTTTTTTCTTCATTTAATAAAAGAGCGCATGTATTTGCATGACTATGTCTGAGGTACAACACTTAGATATAAGAGCCTTTGTCTACTGTTTCTGGGCACCTTATACGATGCCAGCCTCCCACTCAGTGAACATTCATTGGCTGATTGTCTTTCTCAAGAAATATTGGGTAAATACTTGGCCTCTTTTGTGGACATAGAAAATTCCAGCTGAGACCTCTATCAGCCTGGTCACAGAGCTGTCAAGAGAGAGTTCATCTTTGTCATGTGAAATGCATCGAACCATCATGTGAAATAAAATACTTCTTTAAAAAATTCCCAAGGGGCATTTGAGAATGACTGTTAACTTTGTAAAACGAATGCAGAATATGGAAGGCAAGTGAATATTCTTGTGTAGTACATGTGAAACCTGTCTTTCCGAGCTACTGACTGAAGGGTGCGTCGTGATTAGGAAGAATATTACACAGTATTCTGAAGTGGCTCGCCACTTAAATTGACTCCATTGCGGTGCCTTCTGCTCCAGAGAAGATAATTTAATAATGCCCTTGGAAAAAGTGGGTGCAATTTTTTTAGCAAAATATGTCAAAGCAATAGTCTTTCTGTGTTAAATGGAATTTTCTTTCACATTAGCTGCACGTCCAATTATCTTGAGCTGCGAGATGGAGCGGATTCCAACGCCCCAGTAATTTCCAAGTTCTGTGGAACGTCTTTGCCCGGCAGTCAGCTGTCCTCAGGAGAAGTGATATATTTGAGATTCCGGTCTGATAACAGCTCCACTCACGTGGGATTCAAGGCTAAGTATTCTATAGGTAACAACACTCTTCATATTCAAAAAAGAAGTAGTGATAGAATAAACACATTAAAATTAAAAGAAAAGAAAAGAAAAGAAGTCTTTCCATCTGCCTAATTTTAATGACAGAAATGATAGAAATAAGTAAGGAATATAAATGTTTAAAACTGAAAGTCACTTATTAATTTTAACTTTAACTTTGATTTCCATTTTGAAACACTCTATAAACTTGATTACTTTGTATTTTGTCCTAACTTGTTGGTTGAAAAAACATTCAGTTAAATCAAATTCTTGTTTCTTTCTATTATGAAATAGGTACTACTTTAAATAGTAAAACTCTTTAGTAAATAATAACTATATTTAGAACAGTGATTTTGAACTCCTCATCATTAATAGATAATTGAGTTGTTTTCCAAAGCCTCTAGTCCCAAATCACTCACTAGACAAAAAGCAAATGTCTCTTCAGTGTTTTGATTTCCTTACTTAAAAAAATGAGCAATAATATTCATACTGAAAATTCACTATAATATGGTCATGATTGAAGATGAATCTGGACAGTAACCAAACACATTTCATACATCCAGTACTTGGAAAGCCCAGTTGTAACAACATTTTACCTACACCATAGGTTGTTTCATAGCCTGATACAAACTGTGTATAGTTTAATCTATCATATCCAGCTAATGCAAAATAATTGTGTAGTCATTTTCAAAGCCTTGCGATACCAGTTACTGCAGTAAAATGTGTATTTGATGGTTAAGCTGGAAATGGTTGGCGTTGCAAATGAACCACACACCCTTTCCAGGATACTAGGCAGGCCCTATCAATCTGTCGGTTCTTTCTTGAAATGAAATGTAATTGCAACTAATAGCTTTTACGTGGTATCCCAGGAGAATTAAAGAGACATTACAGAATATGCCCTTCAACAGTCTTCCAGTCTTTCACTTCCCATTATTGGACTGAATCTGTGCTCTCATTTCCCTTTACATCAATAGTAGATTTCCAATGATGGTAAGAGAAGCACTAACCAAGCATTTTCAGAATTTTTAAAACTTCAATTCATGTTCACTTGGCACCTAAAAGTTTTCAAATATGCTGGTGAAATTTTAAAAAACTATAATAGGATATTGTTCTTCTTGTTCTGCAGCCCAGTGTTGGGGAACGCTGACAGGGCAAAGTGGTGTCATCCAGAGCGTCGGGTATCCAACCCGCCCGTACTCGGATGACTTGTTCTGTGAGTGGCATCTCCGGGGTATCTCAGGACACTATCTCACCATCCACTTTGAAGACTTTAACCTTCAGAATTCCTCTGGCTGTGAAAAAGACTTTGTTGAGATCTGGGAAAACCATGCCTCTGGTCAGTGAAGTATGCCTGCTGTCTTTGGGGGTGTTTATTCTCACATGTACTCATTCAGCCTCGAAGTCTTCTCCTTTCCAAGAAAGGCAGAACTATGTCTCTTCTTGACAAAGAAGTGCAGATCAATCAGATGTGGGAAGTGCCAGCCCTCCTCTCCCTCAGTGCACCCACAACAATGGGTGTCCTGAGCCACAGGTGTTATTCTGTAGCTGTCCCTGGAGGCCACTGGGCACGCACAACCTTGGGAAGGCATCGCCTTCCTGCCAACACATTTCAGGGCCACATGTGGTTATTTGAGGGATGTCCTGTCAAGTAAGGAAACGAAAGGGTAACGTAGTCTGGAAATAATATGAAATGGATGCCTGTCACTCATTTATTCAGACCATTTCTTTAACCAAATGAGCTAGCCTTCCTCATTGTGCTGAGATGCCCTCTCCCTAATTGGCTGTCATTTTTACTCTTCATGTATTTGAGTATATTGATTTTTATTTATTTTTGTCCTACTTCTCTCTCTCTCTCTCTTTTTAAATCCTCATCCAAGGATATTTTTCCATTCATCCTCAAACAGAGTGGGAGGGAGGGAGAAAGAGAGAGAATCGATGTGAGGGAGACATCAATTGGTTGCCTCCCATACAACCCTGACCAGGGCCCGGGATTAAACAGCAGCTGAGGTACGTGCCCCTGATCGGAATCAAACTTGCAACTCTTTGCTGTTTTTTGGGGGGAGGGTTTGTTTGGTACGTTTCCCTAGTGGGAACCGAACCCAGGACACTCTGGTCCGTAGGCCGATGCTCCAACGGCTGAGCCAAACCGGCCAGGGCTAACCTGCAACTCTTTGGTTGACGCTCTAACTCTGAACCAAACCAGCCAAGGCTGTTCTGCTTCCCTTGACAGAGGTTATCATTTCTTGACGGACAGGGTCTTATCTTGTGTTATTTTCCTCATATGTGCAGAACACCTCCAGTGGAGGTTAAATAAAATCAGTCACCTGGACATATACATATTAACTTACTTGACTCTCACAGGAAATTTACTAGGAAGATACTGTGGGAACATCATTCCTGACAGCATAGACACTTCTAGCAACGTTGCTTTGGTCAGGTTTGTCACCGATGGCTCTCTGACTGCCTCAGGATTCAGCCTACGGTTTGAATCTAGTCTGGAAGGTAAGGTCATGGATTTATGTAAAAATATATATGATCGAGCACCTACACTGGATAGACACTATGCTAGGCACTGGTGTTATAACAGTTGGACAAACAAAACAAAAAACAAAAACCAGCATGACCCCAGTCTTCTTGGACCTTACAGCTTAGTGGAGAGCCAGATGTTAATCAAATAGTCACACCAATAAGTGAAAAATCAAAATTGTGATCGGTGCTACAAAGGGAGGGAACTAGCACTAGAAAGAAGTAAGGGTTGGGAGTTGTACTGCATTCCTGATTGGAAGGAAGCCAGCCCAGTGGTCCTGCTTAGAATTTGCATTCTGAATTCCCTGACAAACTCAGGTAATCTGAAGATCTTGTCTGGACCAAAAATGGTTAATTGGCCCTCTGATTTGTCTGACTCTAAGATTACTACATTTTCTTGGGCCATAATGATAAAATGCTGTGAACTAGTATCCATGGAAACAAAAAGTAACTGCTAATATTAGAAATAGGAAGTGAATACAAATGTTCTGTATAAGTCCTCACCATAAATCTAGTTATGAATGTCAACCGATGGTCACTGGCACCAATTCATTGCTAACAGGAATCCCCAATTTGGGGTGCAGTGAAGAGGAAACTTGATTCAGTAGAAAACAGCTCAGTTGTGATACAGCACAGCTGTGAAAACAGCAACTCTGGGGCTAGGCAGGCCTGGGGCCAGGCCCCTCTCTGCTAGACAGCTCTGCTCCACTCCTTGCTGGTCTCCTCTTCCCTGTGCTGGTCGCTCCACTTGGCCCTGGTCTTCTCCATTCTGTGCCAGTCTGTTGTGCCTGCACTAGTCGGCTCCCCTTACTCTAGTAAGACATCTTCACTGTTTCCTCTCCAGCCCGGGAAAAGCAGTGTTGGGTGGAAAGGGAAACTGGGATGCCAGAGGGAAGTTGACTTATATAGACAGAAGTCCCTGCTTCTGGTCCCTGATTGGTCCATCTTCATGCAAACGAGGACTCCAAATTTTCACAGTTTGATTGTTCCACAAGGCACTGTCTGATTGGTCAGAATGGAGTTGCTCAGATTGGTGAAGAAGTTGATGGAGATACAGCTGCATAGCTCTGATTGGATATAGAAAGCCTCCATCCTATTGGTTGAAATAGCATTCCAGGAAGTTCTTTACAAGGGCTGGCTCAGATGGCAGAAATAATGCTGGCCAGTTCAGTGCAGACTTCTTCCTGAGTGTGGTGTGCCTGAGAGGCCCCTGTGAAAAATGGTTGCTAGGCTTTGTTTTTGTTTTTTTAATTTGAGCCAGTTAGCCATAGAGATCCCTTCTTAGTAGGTATCTTCTTTCTCAGGGGCCACATAGATAAGAGCAATGCTTTTGTCTAGTGCAAGAAGGAAGAAAAAAATATCACAAAACTTCAATTTTGAGAACATTCTTTATGAAAGATGTCAATTTGGTTCCATCGGAAGTTTCCTTGGTTGTTTTCTTCTCCTTCAGAATGCGGTGGGGATCTACAGGGCCCTACAGGAACATTTACTTCTCCCAACTACCCCAACCCAAACCCTCATGGCCGGATCTGTGAGTGGAGAATCGCTGTGCAGGAAGGCAAGCAGGTCACCCTAACTTTTCACAACCTGAGGCTGGAAGCTCATCCGTCCTGCAACAGTGAGCGTGTGACAGTAAGTGTCCCGTACAGTCAGGGATGTTATATTCCATTGGTTAAGGAGTTTATTGACTCATAAATCATAGTCAGAAAACTAGGTCAGGAATATTCCCATTGTGTATCTCAGACAAATTCTAAGTTTTAGATAGAAAAAAAAAAGTCACAATAAACTGCCACAATATTTGTAAAAGCTGTTTTAAGAGGCTATTAGTTGTCATAACTTACATCAGGGTCATAGGTAGGATACATTTTAAAAGCAAATGATCATTATACATGGTACACAGAGAAATTCAGCCCATGGGTAGCACATGGTTGAATGGGACTAGAGTCACAGAACAACCCACTGCCAGATGTTTTAAACAGATGAGTCCTGCATAGCACTGTTCTGTGCTGGTGCTGCTGAGTGACTCCTCTGAGACCATGGCTGCCTGCCCTCCATGTTGTGAAGCTCAGATGCTTTGAAATATACCCTCAGCCTTGGTACCTTCTCTTAGCAAGAGACAAAGTGAGATCCATGAGTGTGAAAGAAGATCATTAATTGTGAAATGACAGATCTATGTGCATATATGCTGTATTGATTGCAGATTAATATTAGTATATTTTCCTACCCAACGTGTCCTTTCTTCAGGCTTTGTCATGTCAGGAAATGATAGTTCCAAACTCCTGATTGCTGAGGTCAAAAACCCAGATGTCTGCCTTGGAGTCCTTTCTCTCATACCTTATGTTACATCTATAAGCAAATCTCATTGGCTGTACCTTCTGCCCTGGCCAGTTTGGCTCAGCAGTTGAGCATCGGCCTGTGGACCAGAGAGTCCTGGGTTCAATTCCCGCTAGGGGCACGTACCACAAAAAAAAAAAAAAAAGATCCAGAATCTTACTACTTTTCATTATACCCACTATTACCACCATCACCACTCACTTAGATTTATTTTAATAAAGTCCACCCCCATCCTCCTGCTTTTTCCATACAGCAGCCAGCGTGATGGGGATCAGTGGAAATCAGATTACGTTGTTCTCATTGAAAATCCTCTAATGGAAAATCCCAAATCCTTACAATGACCCACCAGCCTCACATTATTTTCTGCCTCTTCCTTTTCCTCCCTCTACATCTGATCTCACACTCCCTTCCTTCCCCTTCGCTCACTAGGACCCAGCCGCTCTGGCCTCTTTTCAGTTCATTAAATACGCTGAGACCCACCCCAGCCCACGCCGCGTGCTCTGTCTAGACGGCTGTCTGGCTTCTTCTCTCACTTCGTTGAGGTCTCTGCTCGAATGGCTTGATCCACGAGGCCTTCCCCAAGCACCCCGCATTAAATACACCTCCTCTGAGCCTCTCTTCTTTCCCTCTTATTGTTTTTTTCTTTTTATCCTCATCCGAGGACATTTTTGCATTCAACTTCAAATAGAGCGGGAGGAAGAGAGAGAGAAACATCGATGTGAGAGACACATCCACTGGTTGCCACCCACACGACCCCAACCAGGGCCGGGGACAAACTGCAACTGAGGTACGTGCCCTTAGTGGGAACCGAACCTGGGACTCTCTGGTCTGCAGGCCGACGCTCTAATTGCTGGGCCAAACTGGCCAGGGCTCATTGTTTGCAGAGCACTTCAGACAGGCAGCATTCCACGTGTTTACTTGTTTGCCTGCTTATTGTCTGCTCCTCCAGCTGGGATGTGAGCTCCATCAGGACAGGGCCATGGCCTCCTTCGATGCTGAAAGCCCAGTGCCTGGCACACAAGAAGGACAATAATTGTTGGATGTAGTAGAAGTACTTTCCCTAGTCTTTTTAAAAACAAGCCACTTTTGTTTTCCATTAAATCATCTCCTGTTGGGTAGTGAGTTTCAAAAATATGAGACGTCTTTGTATGTTACTACCTACCACTTTTTATTATCCTAAAATGATCTTATTCAAGCTTAACGTTTTGCCAAGTTCTGATATGTGAAGAAAAAAAATTCAGTACTCCCACTGTACCATATTTTGATGTATTTTCTTTTCTTGGCAATGAATAATATTATGTCATTGTAACCATGTGACATAAATACATTTGTATGCTGATCTTAATCTATTTTTCTGATTATAAATGCAATGGATGCTTATTAGCTGAATCGGCAGAGTTCAGAAAAATATAAAAATACTTGGAATTCTACATACTCATTAAAATTTTGATGTATATGCTGGTGTGTTTTTTTTTTTTTTCCTTTGAAATGGTTTCTGTAGTTGAGATCATATTGAATATAATGATTATTAAGAACCTTACCAGGAAAATATTCACATGCTCTGCAGGAAAGATAATATGAAGAATTCTAATTTTAGAATTCAAATAATTAAAATAAAATTTACTGTGTTGGCCACAACTTCTGAATTATGTCTTGCGGTTTCTCCATCTCTGAAGCATAGATGCTAAAAGCATCCACTTTCAACTCTTTAAGCTACTTCTTGAGGAATTTGTCATTATTTTATTTTTAAATTTTTTAATGGTTTTACTGATTTTAGAGAGCGAGGGAGAGGGAGAGAGAATTAGAAACATCAATCATCTGCCTCCTGTATGCCCCCCCCACACACACATACTGGGGATCAAGCCCGAAACCCAGACATGTGCCCTGACCAGAAATCAAACCAGCGACTTCTTGGTCTATGGGACAATGCTCAACCAACTGAGCTGCACCAGCCGGTCTCTGTCATTATTTTAAAATACTGCTCCTGCTCTGCTACATCTTTATTTTTGGATCTTAGACATTATCTATCTACCTCCAACTATGGACAATGAGGATTTAGTTCTCTTCACAAACCAGCCCCTACCAGAAAGGCACGCAGTGGCATGTACACTTCACACACTCCCCCGAACGTCCTCCAAAAATACTCACGTCACATACTTTGTTTAGATTGTTATTTAATGTTTACATTACTATGATTAGGTAAACACCATTTGCAACTAGCCAGGTAGTGGACTCTGATAGCGTTTGCTTTTGTTTCTTCATGTAATAATAAAAATAGTGTCCTTCTTACGATTCTTGGTTTTCTATGCATCGATCACTAATTCTGCCACACACTTTCCACTCCAGACATACACCCCCACCTTACGTAATAAGGCACATCTATTATTTTCATTCACTTTTCCTAGCAATGTCCTTCCTTGAGCCTTTCTGCAGCAGCTGCAAGCCTGGTGCGAGCTGTCAGGTTCGAATCTCCCTTCAGCAGGTTTCCAAGTCCCTCCAGTCCTCTCCTGGGCAGGATACCTGGCTTTATGATATGAGCATTTCCCTTTCTTGGTTAATTTTCTCTTTTTGGGGAGGCATATACTATTGTAGCTTCTTAAGGAAGTAGAGGTGCGTGACTATGTTTTAAGAATGTGTATACCTAGAATTGTATTTATGTTACCCTTATTCTTTGAATATATTATATATTTTTAAATAGCATACATATTTAATATATTCACACACATATATATGAATATATTAATCATAACTTTGAAGTATTTGGGGTTATTTTGCGGTCAATTTTCTTTAAGCTACTGTTTCCTATTTACATATATTGGTCTCTGCCTTTGACATTAGATGTTCCCCTAAATGTCTGATAACCCTTGGCTGTTCATTTAGATTTAAGAATGAAGCACCAAACGTCTGATTAGAAGCTCTGTGTGCATGGCTGGGCTGTCAGCTGCGGTCTTGATGGGAGGTGACAAGGGGAGAGGCGCCTGTTTAATTAGAGGGAACTACAAATGTCATCTCTACAGGTCTTTTCTCCTGGGGAGGTTAAAACTCCAGAAGAGAAACACTTTCAGAATTAACTCCTGAATTTTAATATGTCCATATTCATTTCCTTTGCAATATATTTTATAGGTTCAATGTTTGTTTTGTTTGCTCTTCACTCTGCTCCAAACAAGGGGATGTGGGTGCCCTTTATTCACCCTGTATTTATTTGAGAACTTCTCAGAAAGAAAAAAAAAAAGGAAGGAAGATCGGGGGTGGGGGGGAAGGAAGGAAAAGGAGGAAGGAAAGAGCTAAATTTAATAATCAAGTATAGTAAATTTAAAAGCTTATCCCTTTTTTTTTTTTAAATCCTCACCCGAGGACATTTTTCCATCTTTTGTTCAGGTAGAGTGGGAGGGAGAGAGAGGAACAGAGAGAGAGAGAGAAACATCGACGTGAAAGGAACACATCAAGTGGCTGCCACCCGCACAACCGACCAGGGCCGGGGACAAACTGCAACCGAGGTACATGCCCTTAGCGGAAACCGAACCCGGTCTCTCAGGACCGCAGGCCGACACTCTAACCGCTGAGCCAAACCGGCCAGGGCAGCTTATCCCTTTTTGATGGAGTACATCCTCTTTCCCCATAGCTCTTAGTGTAACACTCTGACTCATTATTTCTAATTGTGAGCCATTCAAAACCTTGGAAAAAAGGAACGTCAAACAATCAGTCATTCAATTACTGTTTAGTTCCTTCTGGATTGTCCTTACGTCGTGAAAACCAAGCATGCTAAAACCTTCACTTGTTTTTGTACAGAAGCGAAATAATACTTTGCTAATTATTATAACTATGTGCATAACTAGAGTCATTGTTTAATATTTTGGAGTCAGCAATACTCTAGTCTACTTTTTAAAATTCAAATTAGTAAGAGAAGTGAAGCTTGAATGCATTAGTAATTAGGAAAGAACTATTGAGATTGAGATTGGCTTTTTAAATGACATTTCAAGACACTTAAAAATATGTGATTATGTACTTTACATCCTCAGAGTAAAATTTAAGCCTTCATTCTAAATATCAAAGGTCCCGATGCATTGTTAAGAGAAAATGCCCATCAGAGAACCCTGTGGACTAAGATGTAAACATGTTCCTGTATGTACTTTACATGTAGACCACGGTTTCCTGTCGTGAAGAATGCAGCAGTTTTTCACCTGTTGCCACGGGCAGGACAGCATTACCCCTGTGTTTTCATTTAATGAAATGACCCTGAGGCCACAGAATGTGTTCTGGGTAACATAGTGGTTTGTGGCACTGGGCTAGGAGCCCATGTTTTTAAGAAATTCATTTTAGCACATGGCTTCCTTAGAAGGAAGTGTGTCTGGGCTGAGAACAGAACAGAACCTCCTAGGAAATACTCAATAAAACGAGCCATGTTTCTAAAGGTTCAACTCTTTTCCTAACAGGTATTCAATGGCATTAGAAGTAACTCACCCCAGCTGGGGAAGCTGTGCAGCAGTGGGAATGTAAGTGATGAGATCCGATCTTCAGGAAATACAATGAAAGTCGTTTATTTCACTGACGGATCCAGGCCATATGGAGGCTTCGCCGCGTCCTACACATCCAGTGAAGACGCAGGTAACAGCGGGCGTTAGAAACACACACGCATTGCGGATGTCCCCGCGGCCACTGCCGGCAGCACGGCCGTCTGTGTCACGTCGGTGATTAACGTTACACCTCGGAGCTTCTACACGAGACAGACATGCGTAACCTGGAAAACCCATGTCGAATAAACAGAACAATACATTTTAAAATAAAAATTCCTTTGGTTCTGAAATGAAAACTGCCATTGTGAATTAAAACTTAAAAAAAAAAAATGCCATTAGAAGAGGTGCTGGCTCAATTCCATGCCATGTCGCCGTTCTAGTTGGTTTCCAGTTCTGCGGGCCTGGCATTCTTTCATGCTGAGAGCCCATCTACGCCTTAGGAGGTGATTCACCCCCAGAGAGTAACCATGTTAATTGACGACAGACTGTATTATGCTTCAGTCATCCATCCATAGTATACACATTTCCAGTGTAAATACTCTGACATAGAGTATTTAAAAATTAAGCAAGTGGTGGCCTTTCTTCTTTAAATATGCTCCTAATTTCTGGATTGATGTTATTATCTAAGACATTTTACATTTAGGAAAATTGGAACTGAATATTTTTTAAAAACCTTTACTTTATTGATATACGGAGTGTTTATTTCCTATTTGAAGGGGTAAATTTATTAGCACTATAATGTTATATGATCTGTTTGATCCAATTAAATTCTTGGATGAAGTGGAGAATTGCTAATTAGAAGCCATTGGGACCACTGTTGCATTTTAATACTCCTCTAATTAAATATTAACGGGCCCAAATTAGGAGACACTGATGCACAGCCAAACCCACCCACCTATTCTTCACCCACAGAGAAATAAAGAAGCTGCTTATTTTTGCACATATTTTGGTCTAAACCTATAGAAACTTCTTCCATTGTTTGCACGCATGAGCCAGCCCTTTACCCACAACCATGTCTTCACCTAGGGAAAAAAAATGAAAACAGTAAAAATGTTGCCGCTGTTATTTTAGTGATTGTTCCTATATTGTTTGTGTCTTCTGTTATGGCATAAATTTTACTGTTACTTTCTCCGTTGCCTTTTGTTTTTCTAGTGTGTGGCGGGTCCCTTACAAATTCCCCTGGCGGAAACTTTACTTCTCCTGGCTATAATGGAGTCAGTAATTACTCAAGAAACCTAAACTGTGAATGGACTGTTAGCAATCCAAATCAGGGAAATTCATCCATCTACATTCATTTTGAGGATTTTTACCTAGAGAGTCACCAAGACTGTCAATTTGATGTCCTAGAGTTTCGAGTGGGTGAGTTCGGTCTAGGATCATGTCCTCCCGTTTATCTACAGTATTCTTCTCATGCCTGGAGACCACCAACAATGGAAGGAGTCAGATGGCCGCGTTATACATACATAAGATTCAGAAGAATGTTGGTCAGATAAAGCCATAATTCTGTGTGCCCAGATGAGGAACACATGCCCTGTGAGCAGTGAGAGATGAATCAGTGTTTACAACCAGACAACATGTCTCAGCTGATGTGAGATCTGCCTGGGAGATTCTGGTTTGTCCTCGTGCTCTTAATGGTTCAGGTGGCCCCTTCAACTAATCGCGTATCAAGACTCCTTTCCTCAGAGACTGGGATGTAAAATGGTCAGTGTCAGTGGTTTACTGAGTCACAAAAGCAGCTGTGGAATTCTCCTTAGGCCTTCGAAGTCCAAGGAAGTTTTGAAATGCACCAGAGGGAGAAGCACATGGAAGCTATTTGAGAAATCATCCCAGAGCAGTCAAGTTTGTCTTTGATTTCATGATAGAAAAGGATTGAGGTGTATTTGGTAAATCATAATTCTCTTAAGAATGTTTAAATATCTTCATTCATGAAAGACGAATCCATTTTAGTTATTTTCTATAGTCAAGGAAGGCATAGATTATCCATGAAATCACCCCCATCAAAATATTGACACTTTTCCTGGTTAAAAAAAAATAACAAGTAGAGAAAGAAAATAACATTGTAGACCATCTATTTTGTCCAAGGTTCACCAAGTTCCATGTTATTGCAAAATTTAAAGAATAAGAGACTGAAAACAGCAAACACTGATGTAGTTTGACAATGGAAATGTTCTGGGGCAACTTTAAGAATTAATGATGGGTTTGAGAACATGGAGGACAGAATTTTCTAGAAGGAGAGTTAGATAAGGTCTATAATCATCGACCTATCTCAGCAGGAGAACCATCTGGGCCCTCTGAGATCCATAAATCTAGAGAAGGTTCATCAGAGAAATAAAAGTTGTAGTTTGAGAATGTTCTCCATGTGATTCTGGTAATCCCTCACCACCATCACCTGGCTCAAAACCACCGGCTCATAGAATCAAATAAAGCAGCTGTATGTCAGTTAAATGCAGTCTTCTCTCTATTCCCTCATTTTAGAGTCAGTTATAATATTATCTTCTGTTGACGTATAAGATCAGCGATGTTATTTGACTAGAAAGACAGAGAGCAGATCAATGTGAACCCTGCAGGTATGCTCTAAATGTTAATCAAATTACTGTGAAAAATAATCTTCATGAAGATATTCAGCCCTGGTCGGTTTGGCTCAGCGGTTAGAGTGTTGGGCCGCAGACCAGAGAGTCCTGGGTTTGCTTCCCGCTAAGAGCAGGTACCTCGGTTGCAGTTTGTCCCTGGCCCCGGTTGGGGTCGTGTGGGTGGCAGCCAGTTGATGTGTCTCTCTCACGTCAATGTTTCTCTCTCTCTCTCCCGCCCGCTCTATCTGAAGATAAATGCAAAAATGTCCTCAGGTGAGGATTAAAAAATAAATATATATTCAGCTCCAAATATGATACTTCTTGGCCTGAGTACTAATACCATTTATTTTAGTTAAATAAATACAGTGAAAAAAATAATTAAAATATTATCACTTTTATCTTGATAATAGATTTTGTCACTGTTGGTATTATATTTCTTTCTTCCTAAAAATGAATCACAACCAAAAGCTTTTTAATTGGTTGCATCTCTGTTTAAATATGCTAAAATAATTATGAAAACACAAATTAGGACAGAATGGCATCTACACTAGAGAAAGACTCATACCAAAAAGGCATTTTTATTTTTTATTTTTTTATTTTTACCCTGCTGGAGGGACTCTTTCTTTTACAGTTGACAAAGATGGAGAGGAAAATTTTTAAATGTCTGCTATTAAAGTAGAATTTAAACGTGTCAATGAATACCTTGAATTTTTTTTTATTATTGATTCCTCCTGAATTCACTGATTATATTTCTTAAAAGCTATATAAATAATGGCACTTGGTGTATTCTTTTGTTCAGGTAATGCTGATGGGCCTCTGATATGGAGATTTTGTGGACGTTTGTCATCTGCAATGCCATTGGTTATACCTTATCCACAGGTATGGATACACTTTGTCACCAATGAACGTGTAGAACATATTGGATTCCATGCAGAGTATTTCTTTACAGGTAAAATTTCTGATTAAGCTCTCAAACTCTGGCAATAAAATAGTTGATATAATTTTTATAATATTTTTATAAAGATATATATATTTTGTTCAATTTATTTCTAGGTTGCTACTGGTTTTGTTGCTAATGTAAATAAGACATTCTAAATTACATTTTCTGATTGGTTGTTGCTGATATCTAGGAATTTTAAATTTTTTACATTGATCTTTAGTCCAGAGATCTTGCTATTCTTTTATTTGTTTTAGTATTTTGTCTATAATTATCTTTGGTTTTTCTGTAAAAATAATCACATCTTCTGCAAATGATAGTGCTTTTTTTCAGTCCCAATATTTCATTTCTTTTTCTTGTATTATTTCACTAGCTAAGTCATCATCATAATTTTAAATGGAAGAGATGATGGCATCTTATTTTGACCTTAATGTCAATGCCTATGACATATCATTGTTAAATATATGGGTTGCTTTTGGGTTTTCAATAAACACTCCTTATCAGAATAAAGTAAATCCCTTAAATTCATATTGTACAAAAAGTTGTTTGCTTTTTTATTTTTTTACTGTGAATAAGCATAAGATTTTATCAAATAAATTTTCTGCATCTATTAAGATGATCCTGTTTTTCCTCCTTTAGTATGTTAATGTGATAAATCATATTGAAAGATTTTTCTACTGTTAAACCATTCTTTGATTGCCAGGATAAATCCTACTTGGTCATGATGTATGTTTTGAACATATTACTGGATATTACTTGCTAATGTTATGTGTTGGATTTGCATCTGTGACATTCATTTTGCACCTGAAAATTTTACCCAAGACAGGCAGGACTACTCCTTGCTGCTGCTTTGGGCCATTGAAGTTTTTCCAGTACCTTTACACTGTGATGGCAGTCCTGTTAGATCCCCAAATTATGTAAAATCTCAACTCCAATTCTTGGTTTTGTGGGGGTACAAACTCATATGTCCTTTTTCTGTCTGGTCATAAAATCCTTAGACCCCCCATCCCTGTGGCTCACATTTGGCTCTGTATCCTCTCAGACTAATACACTTCCAGGTTGAGATTACGTCTCAGAATCTGAGTACACTTATTGTTTGTCGATTTGGGAGATCTTCATTCTTTCGATTATGGTTGGCTATGAATCAAAATATATTTTGATTGGAGTTTTATCTAACATCTCTTGTGCTATAATAAAATGGTTGATTGGGAGAAGGAGTAAGATTGATTATTCAATCAAGCATCTTGTCAGATTATTTTTCTTCATTAGATTGAAAGAAAGGAGTCGGACTTTGGAAAGCGGTATTATTTGTACAAAACATCATACATGCTATGCTTTATAAATGTATCTATTTTTCAACTTGCTGTGCTAATGTATACTTTGATAGCTGACTCCAGACATATGTGCTTATTATCAAATGACAAAGTCTTTAGTTGTGGTAATAATCATATTCTTCCAGCTTATATTTATTTTCACTGGCCTAGTTCTTTTCAGGAAAAGCAAGTTTATTTACTTTGTCCCTAGTACATTTACTCTCAGTCATACACACATCTAATTATTCTCCATTTATGTTACAGATTATCTTCTTTTTGCTTTGTACTAAACTTGAGCCTGTTTTCACTATAGGATTCTGTGTATGGGATTCTGTGTATTTCTAATCTTGTAACCAGTTTAACTTGCTTTTATACAACTTTACATATTTATTCATTTATTATATTTTCAAATCATAAACTATGACAGGTTTGAGTACTACTTATGTTGGCTTTGCAGGGTTTTTTCCTCTCTTATTTAGAAGGTTGCAAATCTCATTTCAGACTGCGGTGGACTCCAGACAGGTGAGAGTGGAGTCATTGCGAGTCCCAACTATCCGGCCTCTTACGACAGCTTGACCCACTGTGCTTGGTTGTTGGAAGTCCCACAGGGACACACCATCACTGTGAGTTCTGATGACTGAGTAAATACTTCTCAGGCTACAGAGCTACAATATCATGTCCTGTGTGGGAACGGAGTTCTTTCAATAAGCAAATAATTAGGCTTTGATCTTGCTATCAGATAAATTTCTCCCTAAAATTCTCTCATTGGAGTATATACATTGCCATCTATAAGTTTACGATTAATGAATAATGAGATATCTTTTTCAAGTATTGGAGAAGCTATATGTAGAAGATAACTCCACATCCAGGAGAAGGATGTGTTCATGTTCTTGATGTGACTTCCCACCCCAGCCCAGGAGACTGACTTCCCCTAATGCCTTCAGTTTGGAGAGAAATGTTCCTTCTCACAATTTCCAAGAGAAACTTCAATGAGGAAGAGGAGAGGAGGGCAGGGGAAAATTAAATAAGAGACATAAATATGAACGTGTATAATTTAAAACAAAATAAAACAATTTGTGGGGACCTTATCTAACTCTAGGTAGATAAACTCGCAACTCGCTAATAAAATAATGAATGCCTCCTTATTTCTTTTCCTTCCCGCAGCTTACCTTTAGTGACTTTGATATTGAAGACCACTTCACCTGTGCTTGGGACTCTGTCACTGTCAGGAACGGTGGTTCTCCTGGATCACCCATAATAGGACAGTACTGTGGCAGTTCAAACCCCAGTCCAATCCAGTCTGGTTCTAACCAGCTGGTGGTGATTTTTAATTCGGATCATTCGGTGCAAAATGGTGGATTTTATGCTACGTGGAGCACACATACTTTAGGTAAAAGAAACATTTTTCTGTACCTATCATCTTTTTCCATGGAGATATTTAAAAATGTAATGACTAATTCAACAAGTATATATGCTATACCTACTCTCTGTGAGACTCAATTCTAAATGTGTCATCTCATGTAGCAACCCTGCAAGGAAGGCACAGTACCAATACGTATTTTTTTTTTCCCATTATGCACGGGCGAAACAGGATACTGGGGTTAATCATTTGCCTAGGTCACGTAGGCAGGATTTGAATAAAGGCAGCGGAGCCCAGACACTTTGATCTTAACACTTCACTATTCTGCCTCGGTAGCCATAGAATTACAAGTAATAGAAAAGATTTGTTGGAATTACATGTGATTTAACACACTCGGAGCCTGGAGGAGGACTGAGGAGTGGTGAGCTGATGGCAGGAGATTGGTCCTTGACTTCCACATTCTCCCTTCAGCAGTGGGGCGTCCTTGAAGAGCGCTGAGCAGCAAGATAACCGGGCAGATTTGTGACTTAAGAACGAATGCTCTGCCTGTAGCACGTGGCAAATAATCAACTTCCCAGAAAGTATAAGAACTTGCATTGGACACTTTGGTCGGGATTTCTTTAAAGCTTTGCAATGTCACGTACACAGAGCAGTTCTTTCCAGGAGAGTCAGTTATTGTGAAGATCTTTATGGAATGAGTCAAATTTCCCCTCATTAAACCACGGGATGCTGTTGAAGTCAGAGGGGAGTTTTAGATGAACCGCTGATTTTCCGAGAGTTTAAAAGCAAAAGATTCAGGGAATAATCTTTAACTTGACGTCATTTTGTCTTGAGTTCATACTTTTTTCTTTTGTCATGTCTTAAGTATGTATTTCAATAGTATCAAATAATTCTAGATTTTATGTAACTTATTTTCATCCATGAGTGTTTAAATTTGAATGACCCATGGTGCTTAAGGGAAGAACTTTGCCCTCCTCGAAATCATTTGCTCTAATCCTGTGTGTTAGAGTAAAATTACAAATGAGTATAGACTAGTATTCTCAGAATTTGGGATTGCTGGGCCGCAAATATTACAGTGTCATGGGAATAAAACATATTGCTATTGCTTGAAGACAGGACAGAAGTCCATCCCCTTTTTCACAAGGATTAGAGTTCTCAGTTAGGGTCATAGAGGTGTGAGAAAACAGTAACAGCTGGCGCTGTCAATGCACCTTACATTTACTGAGTGTTCGTGTTGTATACAGAGTGTTCTTGTTGTATACCTGCCCCAAAGGCCAGCGACTCATACATAGGGAAAGATGAACTGAAATCTCACATTTAGAAATGTTTTTTCTCTAGAAGTCTTGGATTATCAAAACTGTTCTTTTTTCTCGCAAATTAATGACTTTTCCCATGACACTTTTTAAGGTTGTGGTGGAATACTTCACTCAGATAACGGTACAATCAGATCCCCTCACTGGCCTCAGAATTTCCCCGAGAACAGCAGATGTTCCTGGACCGTCATTACTCATGAAAGTAATCACTTGGAGATCAGCTTTGACAACAACTTCCTAATCCCCAGTGGTGATGGACAATGTCAGAACAGCTTTGTCAAGGTTAGTGGGCTTGTTTATTTAAGTAAGCAGATCTGGTTTTGTGAACATAAACATTTGGAGTAGAAATGACTCATTGCCTCTCAAAGTAAGAAAAGGGCAATTTTACTGCTTGGATTTCTTGAGTTAAAAAGTGAGAAATCTCACCCTGGCCAGGTGGCTCATTTGGGTGGAGCATTGTCCTGTACACAAAAAGGTTTCAGGTTTGATCTAAGGTCAGGGTACGCACAGGAGGAAACTGATTGATGTTTCTCTCTGACATCAATATTTCCCCCCCCCCCTTCTTCTCTCTCTAAAGAGCAATAAAAACATTTCCTCAGGTGAGGATTTTTTTTTTAAGTGAGAAATCTCAACTATTAGGAGTTAAACTTTGAATCACAACACATATTGCTATGTGACTTTTTGTTTGCTAATACATAGGCAAAGGAACTTAGGGAGGTTGTTTTCTGGCCTTTTTAAATGCTCACAAGCATTACTGGTTCTTCCTTTCTGTAGAAACTAAAGAGAGAATGCTAGATTTTGGAGTTTTTTTTTTGTTTTTCTTTCCTTATTCTCTCTCTCTCTTCCTAATACCTCCTCTGGGACAAAATGAATGTAAGGCCTCCTTACAGGCAACATTTAAAGCATGCTAGAAAAATCACAGGAGGCTGGAGAAGTGGCTAGCCCAGCCTTCACCTTGACCTTAAGAGCCCCCCAGCTGAAAAGACCATGAGACAGACCCATGTACAGTGGTGCCAGCGAAGCAGCCAATAAGGCTCCTACAAATACTGCTCCTGTGGCGTTGACCTCACTTTTCACTGACTTGTGACCATGATGAATGTATTACGCACGCTCCATCTGTGATCTTTGCATCGCACGTCTATCTGCAACAGGCTATGCCTTTGAGTGGAGAGAACAGCAGCCTCAGGCGCACATTAGCCTGGACTTGATTCATATCTCATACGTTTAGCGCCTGCATGTTCCTCTGTGAGCTAATTAGACATTTGAACTTTAAATTACTCAACCATAAAAATAAAGAGAACAAGTCTCACTTTGTAGGATTGTTTTAAGCATTAGAGGTAATATGATATAATACCATAGTGTTCAGTACTTGGAATATAACACCCCCTAATGAATAAAAGTGACTTTTATTGTTAATGTTATTATTATTACATCATCTCTCAAATTATGTTTTATATCGAATTGATCTGTGCTTACTGTTTAAATAAAAATCCCATACTTATATAAAATATGTACAGAATAAAACACATTTAATATACACCTTTCCCGGTTGCTTTTTTCATGAAACAAATGAACTCTCTCTCTCTCCCTCTCTCTCTCATGGACTGAGTCAACATCTAATGTACAGATGTGAGACTTGAAAGTTCTTTAATTAAGCCCGGCTGGTGTGGCTCAGTGGTTGAGCATTGACCCAGGCACCAAGAGGTCACTGGTTCAATTCTTGATCGGGGCACGTGCCCAGGTTGTGGGCCTGATCCCCAGTGGGGGCCTGCAGGAGGTGGCCAATCGATGTTCTCTCTCATTGATGTTTCTCTCTCACCCCTCCTCTCTCTCTAATATCAATAAAGAAAAAATTTTTTAAAAGGAAAAAAAAGTTCTTTTTTTTTTTTATCCTCACCCAAGGACATTTTTTCCATTTTTTGTTCAGATAGAGTGGGAGGGGGAGAGAGGAAGAGGGAGAGAGAGAGAAACATCGATGTGAAAGGGACACATCAAGTGGCTGCCACCCACATGACCAACCAGGGCCGGGGACAAACTGCAACTGAGTCATGTGACCTTAGCAGGAACCGAACCCGGGTCTCTCTGGACTGCAGGCCGATGCTCTAAATGCTGAGCCAAACTGGCCAGGGCAAAAAGAAAGTTATTTAGTGATAAAAATGGACCTGAAAAGTTACTTAGGCTCATTTTTCCTCTGGGTGGAATGGGAGTCCCTTTGGCAGTAGGCCAGGCCAACTCCACTAGCAGGTGGGTCAGGTCAGAGCCCTGCCCAAACTAAGTGTGTGGGGGAGCACTTTTGTTTCCTGCTGACCCAAGACTCCTCTTTCTGACAAGAGATACAAAAGTATGTGGGCAGAGCCAGCAAGGAGAACCCACCTACAGCCAGCAAACTTAAACCTCACACCCTATACAGAAAAATGAACTCAAAATAGCTCAGCCAGTGTGGCTCAGTGGTTGAGCATCAACCCATGGACCAGGAGGTCACTGGTTCCATTCCCGGTCAGGGCACATGCCCATGTTGTGGGCCAGATCCCCAGTAGGGACATGCAGGAGGCGGCCAGTTGATGTTCTCTCTCATCCATGTTTCTGTCTCTCTCTCCCTCTCCCTTTCTCTCTCTAAAAACGTCAATAAAGAAAAAAAAAAAAAAAAACACTTAAAAAAATGAACTCAAAATAGACCATAGCCTGAAATGTAAAATGTAGAGCTGCAAACATTCATGGGGTGGGGTGGGGGAGAGGATAGCAGAAGATCTGTAGGACCTAGAGATAGGTGAAAAGTTCTTATACTAAATGTGAAATGATTGATCCATAACAAGAAAAATTAATACATTTTATCTCATCAACATTAAAAATGTTTGTGAGGAGGATGAAAAGGTAGGCTACAGACTGGGAAGAGCGACTCTAGTTAAAATATGCACAGATCTCTCAAACCCAACAGAAAAATTATAACATTTCAGTTAGAATATGGGCAAACAATATGATATACAAAGACAATATACAGATGGTAAAGAAACATACAGAAAGATGTTCAACATCCCTAGCTGCTAGGGAAAATGCAAATTAAAACCACGACCAGATATTGCTACATTTCTCTCCAAATGGCCAGAATTCAAAGCAGTGACAAACACCAAATCCCGGCAAAGGCGTGGAAAGCTGTATCACTTACCACTGCTAGTGGTGATGTCAAATGGTGTGGATACTCTGAAAAACAGTTCGGCAGTTTCTTATCCAACTAAATATACACTTACCATGAGATCCAGCGATTTCACTTCGGGCATTTATCCCACAGTGATGTAAACTGTGTTTACCCAAAAACCCGTATCTCAATGTTTATAGCAGCTTTAGTTGGAATAGCCCCAAACTGGAATTAGTGCAAATGTCCTTTAACAGTTGAATGGCTAAACCAACTCTAGTACATACAAACCATGGAATGCAACTCCTCAATAAAAACAAACTATTGACAGACTAACAATTTAGACAAATCATCAGGGAGTTTTGCCAAGTTAAAAAAAAAAAAGCCAATCTCAAAAGGTTATATAATCTATTGTTCCATTTATATAATGTTTTGGAAATGGCAACATTTTAGGAATGGAGGACAGACAGAGCTAGAGAGCCAGGGTGCAGAAATCAATCCTGTGGTTATAAAAGGGCAACTCTAGGGATCCCCACGGTATTGCAGCTGTTGGATGTGGTGGTATAGAATTTGTATAAAGCTGATTATCTACACACGAGTGTAAGTACAAGCAAAAGAAGAAAATTGAGTGAGATCTCTGGATTGTATCAATGTCAATATCGTTACAATATACTATAGTGGTACAGGACATCAGTGTTGGGGAAACTGGAGAATGTGCCCAAGGACTTCTCTATTTTATATCTCATAACCATATGTGAATCTGGAGTTCTCTCTCCAAATGTTTTTGTTTTTTTTTAATCCTCACTCTAGGGTATTTTTCCATTTATCTTCAAATAGAGTGGAAGGTAGGGAGAGAGAGAGAGAAAGGGAGGGAGAGAGAGAGAGAGAGAGAAACATCCATATGAGAGAAACACATTGACTGGCCGCCTCCTGCATGGCCCCAAACAGGGTTGGGGAAGAACTGCAACCGAGGTATGTGCCTTTGACTGGAATCAAACCTGTGACTCATTGGTCCGTGGGCCAACACTCTAACTGCTGAGCCAATCCAGCCAGGGCTGGAGTTATCTCAATAAACATTCTTTTTATAAACAAAGTTACTTGAATGGCAAAAGATCACTTGCAGTCAGGATGAGAAACCCTTAAGTGAGTTAAAGAGTTTTTGAACTGATGATGTTTCATAACATTTTGTAGATCCAGTATAGTTTGAGGAGTCCTGAGTCATTTAGCCAATGACAGGAGTTCTTGACTGAGAAGGCAGCAATGAATACTTAATAACTCTTTACCATTATCATTGCGATATTTGTGGTCTTGGGCCAGAAGGTAGAGCTATCAGATCCATAATGATTTCAGAAAGATATAAGCACGTGAGTATCCTTGAAGTTCTTTATTTAAAAACTTGAGATTTCTTATGAAAAGTTAGCTCCTATCTCCCTGACCAGTTTGGCTTAGCAGTTAGAGCATCGGCCCGCGACCAAAGAGTTGAGGGTTTGATTCTGGTCAAGGGCATGGGCCTTGGTTGCAGCCCTCCAGCCTTAGTCAGGGTTATGTGGAAGGCAGCCGATTGATGTCTCTCTCTCACATCGATGTTTCTCTCTCTCTCTCTCTCTCTCTCTCTCTCTTTCCCCCTCCCTCCCACTCTATCTGAAGATAAATGGGAAAATATCCTCGGTGAGGATTAGAAAAAAAATTTAGATCCTATCACTTTGCCTTTTAATAATGTTTATAAAAAGAGTATATGCAGATATTAGTAAATTATGTTTCTAATTTTACAAAATGTAGATAGAAAATTTCTGTATACTGTTTCCCTGAAAGATAAGGGGGAAAATAAGAAAAAATTAAAAGGGATATTAGGGAAAATGGTAGTATAAATTTCTTTCCTGAAAACATTTTTAAATTTTTTAATTACAGTTTGCATTTAATATTAAATTGTATTAGTTGTGTACAGAATAGTAGTTAGACAATCATATACTTTACAAAGTGTTCCCCTGTTATTTCCAATACTCACCTGGCACCATACACAGTTATTACAATATTACTGAGTATATTCCCTATGCTGTATTTTTCATCCCCATGACTACTTTGTAACTACCAATTTGTACTTCTTAATCACCTTTTTTACTCAGTCCCTCAGCCCCCCTCCCCCTTCTGGCAACCACCAGTCTGTTCTCTGTATCTATGTGTCTGTTTCGATTTTGTTTGTTCAGTTATTTTTTCTTTAGATTCCGCATATAAGTGAAATCACATGGTATTTGTCTTTCTCTGACTGACTTCACTTAGCATAATATCTTCTAGGTCCATCCATGCTGTTGCAATGGTGAGATTTCATTCTTTTTTATGGTTGAGTAATATTCCATTATATATGCGTACCACCAATTTTTAACTACTCATCTATTGATGGGCACTGGGTTTGCTTCCATAGCTTAGTTATTGTAATTAACACTGCAGTGAACATAGGTGTGCATATTCCTTCGAATTAGTGTTTAGGGTTTCTTCAGATATATACCCAGAAGTGGAATCACTTAGTCATAAGCCAGTTCCATTTTTAATCCTTTGAGGAAACTCCATACTGTCTTCCACAGTGGCTGCACCAGTCTGCATTCCCACCAGCAGTGCACAAGAGTTCCCTTTTCTCCACATCCTCGCTACCACTTGCTGTTTGTGGATTTATTGATGGTAGCCATTCTGACAGGTGTGAGGGGATATCTCAGTGTGGTTTTAATTTCATTTCTCTGATGATTAGTGGTGTTGAGCATCTTTTCATATGTCTGTTGACCATCTGTATGTCCTCTTTGGAGAAGGATCTATTCAGGTCCTCTGCCCATTTTTGAATTGGATTGTTTGGGTTTTTTTGGTGTTGAGTTATATCCTGACACATTTTGGATCTTCGGTATTTGACAGACTATCTGTGCTTTTGTTCTTAGTAGTAGCTCCAGTGCCAGGTGCCTCCCACATCTGACAAATGGAAATATAATTTGACTTTAATAAAACGACTTTAATGGATGCCAGTGTTTAAAAATCAATTGAAATGATATCACTTTAAAGAACTGAGAAATATTGAACTGGTGCTATGAATCAGTGCAGTTTCACACCTCTTTGTGGACTGATTTGCCAACAGAAATATATTTGAAGGCTTGATGTTTTATTGCTTTGTTGAGAAATATTTCTGAAAGTGGTATGTTCAAATGAGTAATTTTGCATAGTTTTATATAAAAAAAGTTGAATAGTCAAGGAAGACTGACCCACACCTATTACTCTCTTGCCTACTTGGGCTAGAAAATTATTAGTTGTGTGTGTGTGTGGGGGGGGGGGGTGTCTTGTCCTGTGCATCCCTGGCCCCTACCCACTACATGCCCCCCCCACCCCAACTGTGACAAAAATACAGTTGCTAAATACAGCCATTGCTAAATATTTCCTGGGGAGGGCAAAGTTGCTCCCAGTTGAGACTCACTCAGAGGATCTTCCCTGGTTAAACATGTTCAATAGTATTTTCCCTCAATAATGTATATTCAGTACCTGATATCACTATTTTTCTTGAGTGACTCAGCACTTTAGATACCCCTTTCTCTTGCCTGAACTATTGCAAAACCCTCCTGTCTGATCTCCCAGCATCCTCCCTTTTCCCTTTATTCTCCACATTGGGATGTTTTCCAAAAACCAAATGTGGTCAAGCCTTCAGCTCTCCGGAGGCTCCTTGTCCTTTTCAGGACAGGGGCCCAGATGCTGACAGGCCACAGGCCTGGATGGGCTCTGTGGCCTCTCCTCTCACCCTGCTCGGTTGCTCTCTGTCCTCTGAGCTAGACACACCTGTCCTGCCTGGGGTTTCTTCGGGTAGGCTCGCCGCTCCCCGCATCAGGTCCGCTGCTCCACTGCAGCCCCTTCCAAAGCTGGAACTCTGTATTTACATTTGTGATGCTATGATTAATGTCCTTCACTAGAATGGTGAGGATTGGCGTGATTTGGGACTTCAGTGCAACTATTTTTCAAATGCGTATGTCAGTTATATCTTTGAAAGTGGCCAAGCTAATTCAATGACAGACCAGTTCTACCTGGGAGCTGCTAACCCCGTCTTCAGTGAATAATAGTGCATAGTGACTGAATCACATCCTTCTTCAACATGAACCTTAAAATTCAACCTTGGCAGGAAGTCTGCTATGATTTATTCCAATGTATCCTAGTTACATATATACCTGGAATTCATGTCCACTTTCTTCATGCTCCTCAAAAATATTAATTTCCACAGACTTCTTCCTTGCTAATGTTCTCTATTAGTAACCAACAATTTCCCATCCACCCAGGACAAACAGCCCCACAGTAACACACATTACTACCTCTCTCTCTCTCTCTCTCTCTCTCTCTCTCTCTCTCTCTCTCTCTCTCTCTCTCTCCACCTAGCAAGCTCAGCTACCTAGATCAGGTCAACTAGGAGAAGCCAAGAGGAAACTGGATAGTGATTAAGTTTTTTCAAAACTTTTCAAAATTACTGTCTAGATGCCCTGGCCGGTTTGGCTCAGTGGTTAGTGTGTCAGCCTGCAGTCCAGAGAGACCCGGGTTCGGTTCCCGCTAAGGGCACGTACCTCGGTTGCAGATTGTCCCCGGCCCTGGTTGGTCGTGGGGGTGGCAACCACTTGATATGTCCCTTTCACGTCGATGCTTCTCTCTTTCTCCCTCCCACTCTATCTGAACAAAATATTAAAAAATGTCCTCGGGTGAAGATTAAAAAAAAAAATTACTGTCTAGCTACACAAAAATAAACATGATCTCCTTGGAAGAGTAAAAAAATGGGATATGTTATTAAAATGCAACTTAAAAATATTGTTCTAAAAAAATATTGCAGATTTTTGTGTTCTATTTAGTGCTACGTGTAGGTTGATATATCCCTCAGTACCATGACTCTCCAGCACAGGCATGCTCAGATTTGATGGGAAACCCTGAGTGTTATGTGTGTGGCTCTGCTAGGTGTGGGCAGGAACCGAGGCGGTGGACAAAGCCCTGTTGGCCACGAGCTGTGGGAACCTGGCTCCCGGTGCCATCATCACACCAAGAAATGCGTTCACAGCCGTGTTCCAGTCTCAGGAAGCCCCGGCTCAGGGCTTCTCTGCCTCCTTTGTAAGCCGTAAGTAACTCTCAAATCCTTACTGAGAGGTCCCTGAAGGGGTGTGGCTGCCACAGGCAGGCCTGGGGAAGAGTGTGTGTGTGTGTGTGTGTGTGTGTGTGGAGGGGAGTGGGGGGTAGCGCACCAGGGTTGGCTGGGACTAGGGGTCCACAGGGAAGAGTGTCACTTGGTCACCTAATCCTGAGAGTAGACCCTCCTTTCAAAATCAGTGGGAATGGAACTGAATTTAATGCTAGGTCAGCTGAGAAATGATGTCAAAAGCCTGAGTGCCGCTAGGACATCTAAAAATAACGCCCAAATCTGGAGTGGGCAGGAATTTGGCAGGAGCCCAGGAGGCCGATAATGAGTAGACCTCTGGGTACCTGGCACATGGTGCATTGCCTACCTGCCCTGAAATCACCTGGGCATTAAAACATGCTGCGTCTCGGGCCTCAGCTGACCCATCTGACTTCAGAATTTCCACGGGTGGGGACTGGCATGTTTTAGCTCTCACCCAGGTGGTTCTCACGGTCAGTAAACCTTGGGAACCACTTTCTTCAGAATATGTTTTCTTCCTTCTCTTATTACTACTCACAAATTAGGTTAGTGGCAAATGTAGCAGGTTTTAAGCCTGAGAACCAATGGTGTGTGCCTGTTGGCTGAACTGAATTGAGTAGCACTAGCTGCAAACCACCATTTAGGAAAATGTTTGAAGCAAAGAATTGAAGGAAATAATGCAGAGAAAGGATATTTCAGACACAAATAAAAGAATGGGGGTGGTGTAAAGGAAGTGATGAAAGACAACTGCAGACCTAACCTTAGGTCTTTACTTGGTTCCTGTATATGTGTATGTGTGTGTAACTGTGTATGTGTGTGTAACTGTGTATGTGTGTGTAACTGTGTATGTGTGTGTGACTGTGTGTGTGTGCTTTCATATCAGTTTCAAAGGACACTGATGTTTTCATGCATAATAGATCAGTGAGTGATGTGGATTAACTAGTTAGTGGTTATATGGAAACAAATGTCATTTTAATGGTAAAAAGATAATTCTATCTCTGACACCAGGGATTCATGCGAGAATTTGATAAGGGTTGGGATTAGTACATTCAACCATTTAAAAAAAAAAAAAAAAAAAGCAGGTGTTTTTGTGGTCAGATTACAATGGTAATGAAATAATATAGTACTCTAGTAATATAATAAGATATTTTAAAACTGTTAGCTGTACCAATCAGGTACAAATCACTTTTCATCAGTCTTATTTCTTTATCTACATAAATAATATTAAATCTTTGCTAAGTTATCCTTTCTTTATTATCTTAAGTGATTTGCAGTAGATTTATGGTAAAATTTCCAGTCCCAAACCCTACAGTATTTTCTTTAAAAAATATAGTGTTCTCATTTATTTATTTTAAAATGAGAATTCTGTTTTCTTAGTTATTGTTTCTTCCACGTGGAGTACCTCAGGGAATATGTCTCCACAGAATTTAGGAAATTGGAATCGTGTCCTTGCTGATGAAAAGATCCTGTACGTGAGAATATGTGTTCTGATAATGCCTGTTTTCTTTCTACCTAGGATGTGGAAGTCATTTTACTAAATCTTCGGGTTACATTATTTCTCCAAACTACCCAAAGCAATATGACAACAACATGAATTGCACTTATTTCATAGAGGCTGATCCTCTGTCTGTGGTTTTCCTGACTTTTGTGTCTTTCCATTTGGAAGGTAAGGTTATTCTTAGGTGAATTACAGTGGATTCATACTAAATGAATGAGGGATAAGTAGAGGCAGAGATAGTCTAAAATCACCATTTGAAGAAAATATTTAAAGTGTTACAGAGTATATTTGATGTAAACTTGATTGAAATACCATCCAATGCCCTGGCCGGTTTGGCTCAGCGGTGAGAGCATTGGCCTGTGGACCAGAGAGTCCCAGGTTTGGTTCCCACCAAGGGCACGTATGTACCTCTGTTGCAGTTTGTCCCTGGCCCTGGTTGATGTCGTGTGTGTGGCAACTAGTTGATGTGTCTCTCTCGCATTGATGTTTCTCTCTCTTTCTCTCCCTTCTACTCTATCTGAAGATAAATGCAAAAATGTCCTCAGGTGAGGATTAAAAAAAAGAAAAAAAGAAATTCCATCCAATGTTTTAAGAACACATGTACTGTATATTCCATCCAGAAGTGAGAAAGGAACACAGAGCTTTAAGAACACAAGGGTCACATAACTAGCTTAAGAAAAATAAGTCTTAAATGTATTGTATTTTAATAATAGTTTTTCATTCCTTTGGATTTATACTTTATACACATATATGTGTACATGCACACCCACAATCACATACACACTGTAAACTAACTAGAGAGAGAAACTATCTATCAAAGTAATAATAAACATCTGAACTTTACTTATATGAAGTATTATCCTGAGAAACCCTCTCATCTCCTTTCTCTTTTTTTATCTTCATCAATCCTATAGATTACCCACCAGAATGACCTCTCTGGGTTTATTACCGCTCTGGGTTTATTACCGCTCTGGGGCAGGGGCTGCTGGCTAAGCTTCTGGCTTGGGCTGGGCTGCGGCTGCAGCAGGCACACCGCGAGGTTTCATGGGTGCTGACACTGCAGAAGAAAGATCCCTTCAAGTACATGGGTGTTTCCGACCCCTCAGTAGTACTAATACTTTTTGCAAATTAATTTTTTATTTCTAAATTATAATTAATCTATAAATGTATCCAGCTACCTCTGCATAATCAAAACTTCTTTCCCTTTAAGGAGTCTACCATGTCATTGAAAAATGACATTTAGCCAAATGTTCTACAGTATACAGTATCTGGGAAATTTATGTTACTTTAAAATAAAAATGAGCCCTGGTTGATTTTGCTCAGTGGTTAGAGCATCGGCTCACAGACCACAAAGTTGCGGGTTCGATTCCCACCATAGGCACATACTTTGGTTTTCGTTCATCCCCAGTCCGGGTCGGGGTCGTGCAGGAGGCAACCAGTGGAAGTGTCTCTCTCACATCAATCTTTCTCTCTCTCTCTCTCTCTCTCTCTCTCTCTCTCTCTCTCTCTCTCCCTCCCAACCTCTCTCCCTCCCACTCTATCTGAAGATAAATGGAAAAATATCCTCGGGTGAGGATTAAAAAATAATAATAAAAAAAATAAAAATGACATGTCATTTCTCATACACTAATAAATCATATAAAGCCTTCCTCTCAGTTGATCCTTTTTCCATGACCTCCTTTTCCTACATCTCTACAAATTATGGTTTGGGGCACTCTGCTAGAAAATGCCGAGTGTGAATAGATGTGTGTCACTATAAAAATGGAATATGAAGTTAAATACAATCTTCTCAGCATTTGCTAGCACCAAATTCAAATAATATAAAAAGATGTTATATATATAGATATATAGAACAATATTTTTAAACTGCTGAGTGAGTAATTTCTGGCTACTATATATATATATATATATAGTATTAGGGGAAGGTAAAACAGTTTATGTAAGATGATCCAGTTTTCTCTTTAGAATGACATACATGTGAATAAAATCTGTAAGGTTCTTAAGCCGGACTTAAAGAGTTGTTACCACTGTGCCATAGATTGTGATTTTTATTTTCTTCTTTATACCTTTTCTGTTATTTTTCCATTCAGCAGAACATTGTTTTAGTAACAGGAGGAAACATGTGGCTTGGATTGTACTTATGGGCATTTGGTCTCACTAAATTACACAACAGATGAATGTCACATGCCAGTATCGTTTAGACTGAAAGGAAACACTGGTATTTATACTATGAAATACGCCACGAGAAGCACTGCTGACCGATGGGATATGTACTACAAAGAACCTATATTTGCCCTAAGCAGTTGCTCCCTGAGTTCTGTAGGTGGGATAAAGGGACAGAATAGTCTGAGTACCAGACGTAGGGTGTGGAGGGGGAGAGGACAGCATTTCAGGATGGTCCCAATGCCAGGACGACCGCTTAACTAGTCACCTGAGTTTGTGCAAATGACTCAACCTTCGTGATAATCGCCTTCACTTTTTAAAAATAGAAAATAGTTATAATAATCAGATGTTGCCTGTAGAAACATATGTTGTGAACTCCAATTCATCCACATGGCCATTGTTGCAGATGTACACTGACAGGTGGCCAGAGAGCAGATAACTGCTTTTGTAGATTCAGTGATTTCTACTTCTGCTAATGGATTTGCTAGTCAGCACCCAGCTGAAAAGACTGATTTTTAAAAATAAGATAATATCCTTAGGATAATGTCGTCTGACATTGCCAGTGTTGCAAGTATTCAGTATTTTCAAACTGCTAAGTGCATAATTTCTGGCTACAGATTAATTAAATTATAATGATTCCCAGAAAGGGCAACATTAATCAAGTTTATAATTAGATTGTTATCACTCATCATATCAATGTGGATGTTCATGGAATAACACCAAGAAACTAGAGACTCATTAGCTACACTAAAAATAATCTTCTACCCCTTCTAAAGTGAGCCAGAAGAATTCATGTGGAGTATGTTGTGATAAAACTGAGAATTTCTCTCAAGAAAATCACAGCTTTTTTTTTTTTTTCCAGGAGCATTGGCCTTTCAATCTGCTATAGTTCATAGGAACTATTTCTGAGGGACTAGGTCCAAATGACTAAGCATTTCTGAGCCTAACATACCCACAGAGTCATCACTGACCTAGGTTGAGACGAGGGTTCTAGAGCTGCCCTTTTTGTGAGCTATCCCAGGCTATAAAGTACTATACACACTTTTGTTTCTACACTGTGTTTACTGAACACTGACAACTGGTTAGGTTTGCTCTTTAGTCTAGTATACTGATCACTCAGCTACATGCTGGTACTTTCTGTCCAGGGATTACAAAGGTTCAGCGAAGTACTTTCTCTTTTCTTAACTACTTCCCACTACTAAAGTTGCTCTAAAAATATGTTATGATATTTTATGTTGGCCTGAATTTCTTTTTCTTATTGTTATTACATTTTTATTACTAATTATTCTAAAAACTACAAAGTTCTCATCTTTTCTGTATAATCACTATGTTAGTATAAAAAATACAATGAGCCCTGGCCGGTTTGGCTCAGCAGTTAGAGCGTTGGCCTGCGGTCCAGAGAGACCCGGGTTCGGTTCCCGCTAAGGGCACGTACTTCGGTTGCAGCTTGTCCCCGGCCCTGGTTGGTCGTGCGGGTGGCAGCCACTCGATGTGTTCCTTTCACGTTGATGTTTCTCTCTCTCTCCCTTCCTCTCTCTCCCTCCCACTCTATCTGTACAAAATATGGAAAAATATCCTCGGATGAGGATAAAAAAAAAAAAAATACAATGAAATCAGTGAAAAGTCATGGGAGAAATATTTATTTGATCATTTATTTAAAAGACAACTCCCCTCCCCCCAAATGTAATCTCAAGACAGAAATGACTCTTGGTATTCTGAACAGTATCTTCAAAAATGTAAAATAAAATTGGGAATTGATAAATTCAAAATGTTTCTTTTGATCAGAAATGAAACCAGAAATAGACAAAAGCTAATAGCAAAGGATGAGAGAAAAACTTTTATTATTTATTTTTTTAATCCTCACCCGAGGACATTTTTCCATTTATCTTCATAGAGAGAGAGAGGGAAAAAAAGGGGGAGAAAGAGAAACATTGATGTGAGATGGACACATCGACTGGTTGCCTCCTGCACCACCCCGACCAGGGGACGAACTGCAACCGAAGTCTGTGCCCTTGGCTGGAATCGAACCTGAGACTCATTGGTCTGTGGGCCAACGCTCTGCCATTGAGCCAAACTAGCCAGGGCAAGAGAGAGAGAACCTTTTAGTGTTTGTAATTATTTTGTAATTAGATGTCATTAAATACTAATTTTATTTTCCCAAATATCGAGCAGTCCAAAAGCTTATTTTTGTGTTTTTCTTATTCATGTGGCCAAGTAGATGCCTCCAAGTTGCTGTGAAGATTATAGGCCTTTTTTTTTTTTTTTTCACTTCTTAAAGCAGTTAGCAGATGTAGTGACCTAAGCCAAGTAAATACCTTCTATGCCTTGAATTTTCTTTTTAAATCTTTATTGTTGAATGCAAAATGTATTACAGATGTTCCACATTTTTCCCCCATTGACCACCTCCTCCCCACTCCCGCCCCCCTCCTGCCTGTTCCCACACTATTGTCTGTGTCCATTGGTTATGCATATAAGTTCTTTGGTTTATTCCCCCCCCACCCCCAACCCCTTTCCCTTTGAGGTTTGTCAGTCTAGCAATGAATTTGTACTTCTTAATCCCTTCACCTTTTTCACCGATTCCCCCAACCCCCCTCCCATCTGGCAACCAACAAAATGTTCTCTGTATCTATGAGAATGTTTCTGTTCTACCTGTTCATTTTGTTTGTAGATTCCATTGTTGATAGATATGTATTCATTGCCATTTTGTTTGTTCATATATTTTATCTTTTTCTTCAAAAAGAGCCTTCATCATTTCATATAATAACGGCTTGGTGGTGATGAACTCCTTTAACTTTTTCTTGTCTGGGAAAGTCTTTATATGGCCATTGATTCTAAATGACAGCTTTGCAGGATAGAGTAATCTTGGTTGTAGGTTCTTGCTTTTCATCACTCTGAATATTTCTTGCCACTCCCTTCTGGCCTGCAAAGTTTCTTTTGAGAAATCAGCTGACAGCCTTATGGGAACTCCCTTGTAGGTAACTAGCTGCCTTTCTCTTGCTGCTTTT